TGTACAATTTTTGTATATAATGACACATTTGATATAAGTCCATACTGTACATGTAACAAACTGTCTTTTGAAAAGCTTTAATATATAAAATAACATTTACCATTGAATAGTTGTATTGCAAGAATATAATTGACATCACATTAAACTGACTTATAAAATGTTTTTCTGGCTGAAACCTAAGGTCAAATTTAAATACTAGGATTTGAATAAAATGCATACAACACAAGACAATACATACAATGTACATGTACTGTATATGTATGTCATGTCCTAACGCTAAATGCATGCACTGTACCTGTATCATGTTTGCCATCAAACTGGCCACAGGTACATGTATGTCCCCTGAAATGTATTCATTCTCAATTGTTCGCTTCCCTTTCTCTTTCTTAATTCATGAACTGGTGAGAGAAAATTTAAGCTACATCGCCTGACAAACACCTAGTCTGCAAGCACAGACCCTAATTTGACACTTTATCAAAAAAATCATTGTGCCTTGAGAGAAGCCTAGCCCAGCTACCTACTGGGTGTCAGGAGCAGCTACAGTACATGGTCTATGGTAGTCTTATAGTGCAGACTCACTTTTACGATTGACCAGGGTTTGTGCTTGCAGACTAACAAACACCTGGGTCTTGTGCACAGACTTAACAATCAGAAAAAACCATTTTCCATGAAACAAATGCCATATTTTTTCATCTCAGTCAAAGTAATGAAACAAATTTAGGACTTGCCAATGCCATCACTGCATACATACTGTACACCTGTACAGACTATACTGTATGTCCTATGTATGTACACTGTACATACATGTACACGTACATGCACAGTCATGTGCAGACTGCATACAATGAAATAAATAATGCCTCTCAAAGTCTCAATCAAACAAAGATAAAATAGATCAGATACATGTATAAATCTTACCAAAAAAAACTGTCTATAAAACAGTTGCTTCTGTAGCGGCTCTTACATTCGCACTACTTACATTCGCCCTACTTTCACGTACATTCATGTCTCCTGTATTTTTCCATCACGGTACTTATTTATATTCATTATTCGGACCACGTGTGTTCATTCCTCCAATCGAGCATCGTGGTTCCGCGCATCGTTCCCCCGCGTATTTTCAACTCCACGAGGTTTTTCTCCACTCCCGCTTTCACCTTGGTCGAGTCAAGACGTCTCCGCAATTTCCTCTCCAGGCTTATTCTTCTGTGCTTTTCGTCGCTTCTACGGCACGTCAACTCTTTCTCTGCCGTGTTCATCGGGCTGCAGTCTCCCAGTGGAACGTTATAGTCAGGACCGACATGGCGCCTGACTCTCCGCTGGGAGCTGCCAGTTTCTTCGTTCCGGTAGCTCTTTCCACTCACGAGCTCATCATTTCACCGCAGCTCATCTAAACATTTCTTCATCAAAGTCCGGCGCATCAAACGAGCATTACTACTCAGCACCAGTGCCGGCTTTGCATGTCTACATTTCTACTTGCCTCCGACATCAAGCGATTCACTGCTTCGTCGTCGAGCGCCACATCTCTTCTCTTCTCTTCTCTTCTCGCCTGAGAGCTTCAACCACATCTTTATCACGAGCGTCAGCGTCGAGATCCTTCACCGCTCTTCAGCCACGAATACGAAGCTGCATCTCCGCCTTCAAGCCTCCGCAACATTCATCGCGTGAGCCCCTTCCTTCGTTCTGAACTCTCTTCATCTTCATTGGACTTTCGACGCCCTTTCTATTCTGTCGTAAGCTTTCATTCATTATGTACATCACATTTATTCATGTTCATTCTCATCCTTAATCATAATGTAACTACGTGCAATATTCACATTTTCAAGTCTGCTATATTTGCTTGACTGCACTTTGCAAGTGCATTGTCAGCTTTGTTTCAGTACCCAATAAATTAACGAAAAGGGAATACTTACTTTCATGTATTTTATTGTCAGTGCAACCTTGCTTCCTCGTAGCTAAAATAAAAATAAGAGTTATGTTGTGTGACGAGTGAACACGCTTTCAAATATCCATTCACAATACCTCACACTCATATCTCTAAAGTGGTGACCCCTCGTTTACTTTGAAGCTTGGTTGTACGAATTTATTATTCCCAGACTTTTTGGACTTAGCAATATTTTATCAAATGTATTCATTCTGGATTTTGTATCGAATGTTTTTTTATGCTCTTGCATTTATACACGTTTATTCGATGCATACCATGTCATTCATTAATGTCTATTTACTGGCAACTAAACAGCCGTTCGCATACCATGCTTGTTGTTTACATTCTTTCAACATGCCATGCTTGTACATTTCTTAGGCTGCTGTAAATTACTGCATACACTATATTATACAATACATGCACTTTTACATTTTTATCAGCCATTGATTCTTGTGACATTTTGTACTTTGCTCATTTATATATTATCGCCTTTTATCTGTGTATTGCATACACAGCTTCAATTCTGGCAGGGGAGTAATGTAGCGGCTCTTACATTCGCACTACTTACATTCGCCCTACTTTCACGTACATTCATGTCTCCTGTATTTTTCCATCACGGTACTTATTTATATTCATTATTCGGACCACGTGTGTTCATTCCTCCAATCGAGCATCGTGGTTCCGCGCATCGTTCCCCCGCGTATTTTCAACTCCACGAGGTTTTTCTCCACTCCCGCTTTCACCTTGGTCGAGTCAAGACGTCTCCGCAATTTCCTCTCCAGGCTTATTCTTCTGTGCTTTTCGTCGCTTCTACGGCACGTCAACTCTTTCTCTGCCGTGTTCATCGGGCTGCAGTCTCCCAGTGGAACGTTATAGTCAGGACCGACATGGCGCCTGACTCTCCGCTGGGAGCTGCCAGTTTCTTCGTTCCGGTAGCTCTTTCCACTCACGAGCTCATCATTTCACCGCAGCTCATCTAAACATTTCTTCATCAAAGTCCGGCGCATCAAACGAGCATTACTACTCAGCACCAGTGCCGGCTTTGCATGTCTACATTTCTACTTGCCTCCGACATCAAGCGATTCACTGCTTCGTCGTCGAGCGCCACATCTCTTCTCTTCTCTTCTCTTCTCGCCTGAGAGCTTCAACCACATCTTTATCACGAGCGTCAGCGTCGAGATCCTTCACCGCTCTTCAGCCACGAATACGAAGCTGCATCTCCGCCTTCAAGCCTCCGCAACATTCATCGCGTGAGCCCCTTCCTTCGTTCTGAACTCTCTTCATCTTCATTGGACTTTCGACGCCCTTTCTATTCTGTCGTAAGCTTTCATTCATTATGTACATCACATTTATTCATGTTCATTCTCATCCTTAATCATAATGTAACTACGTGCAATATTCACATTTTCAAGTCTGCTATATTTGCTTGACTGCACTTTGCAAGTGCATTGTCAGCTTTGTTTCAGTACCCAATAAATTAACGAAAAGGGAATACTTTCTTTCATGTATTTTATTGTCAGTGCAACCTTGCTTCCTCGTAGCTAAAATAAAAATAAGAGTTATGTTGTGTGACGAGTGAACACGCTTTCAAATATCCATTCACAATACCTCACACTCATACAATGTATCTCTAAACTTCATTAGACCTGAAAGCAAAACTTACATTTCATGATTCACTACATTGCCAGCTGCAAGGATATTTTATTGAAATTCCTCCTAAATTGGCTAATATTCAGTTACACTGTAAATCAATGCCCATATATGTCTTTTAACAACCAATGCAAATTGACAACTGTGAGATTTTCCTAATTTCTCTCTGATTCATTTTGTACAACATTTGAATAATAATGATAATTTTCTGCTTTTATATAGGGCTTTAATAATACATCTACGATGTCTCTATTAAAGCGCACTATTACCCCGGTCATTGGATTCAATGCTTGCCCGCACACAATGTGTGCACAATCTCTACTCCCTGGGGAGTTCACTGAAAAGGATGGCTTTTCAAATGGCCTCATATTTGTAATATGAAAAGTAAAAGCTAAAGGTTGTGGACCACAACTTTGTGTAGTCTTGTACACATTCATTGTATACAGTGTACATGTACATGTACATGTACATGTACCTGTATGTGACTCTTAACAAGACTGAGCCCATGTCTTATCATTTTGATGACTACAAAACCTCACACTGGCTCACAGTATACACCAATACTTGACGCATGTGCTACAATGTACATGATCAACCTTTCCAATTGCTTCCTTCCACACAGTTCCTTTCACAGAACTCAACCTTATCATTAAGCATACTGTACTTCAGGAAAGATTCCGGAGAAGCAAACCATCACTGGAACACAACGTTCACTGCCATATACATGCATCTGTGTTGTCCGGGGGGAAAAAAAAAACATGGGGGCTCGGGGCGATTTAGCCCCCAAAATGCCCAAAAGAGTCCCCAAAAGAGCCCCCAAAACTTTGCATAGAGTTCAATGCAAAAACAAAATAAAGAATGTAATTTTAATGCAAGCAAGCTTGAAAAGTAGCCCCCGAAATTTTTTAAATATTTTTTCCCTGGTGTAGTCCAACGTACACCTTTCTGTGTACCTACATGTAAGTCATGTGACTCTTAGCAAGAATGAGCCAATTTCTTGTAATTTTGATGATTAAAAAATCTGTATGTGCTACGTGATCAACCTTTCCAAATGCTTCCACTCAGTTACTCCCACTTTGCGATTGCATGACCTGAACTGAACCTTATCTTTAAAGATGAAGTTGAGTTCTGGTCATGCAATTGCATTGTGAAAGAAACGGTGTGGAATCTACCAGAAAAGGTTGATCATCTAGCATAATATAAGAATTTGTGTGTATTGCAAGGTTCTGGAATCATCAAAATTATAAGAAATTTGGCCGAGTCTTGGTAAAGTTACAAACACTGTACACAGAAAGATGTATATGGGACTACACAAACACATGGGGTAAAAATCCTACCCGGATTTTTACGATCTTACATGACATATTTACAATATGAAGGCATTTGAAGAGCCATGCTTTTCAGGGAACATGTCTTATTTGATGTCCTTCCACGCTTGCATAATAAGAATGATAACGCTCACAAATTATTTTTCACCTCTTCCCAGAACTCAACCTTCTCTTTAAGCATACTTCAGGAAAGATTCAGGGAGTAGCAGACCATCACCGAGCAGCGTTTCCTTGCTCCGATGCATCATGACCCCATGAGCTCCTAGACTTGTTATCCAGGATTCGTAATTATGGCGGAAGAGGTCTGCCTGGAGGGCCTTGACCGAGTCCTTTGGAATGTCGGGAGGCAGGAGGGCAAAGACGCAACCGCCTCCACCCGCTCCCGTTAGCTTGGCGTGGATCTTGTAAGCCGCAGCTGAACGGACTATGTTGTTGATTGCTGGATGGGACACTCCAATCACGTATAACAGCTGTTGGTTGATATCCACAAGCTCTCCTAGGCTCTTGAAGGCACCGTCCTTGTCCAAGGATTCTCCCGTCTTTAGAGCTTGCAGAGTTCGCTTACACTCCTGCGATATCTCCTCTATGGAATCGAGGATGGGGCCGTATACCTTGGGGTACTTGTCATGACGTCTCTGCACACCTGCCACGAGTTCCTTGGTGCTCCTTGCAACACAGGTGTTAACAAGTAGGATGGACAGCTCTGGCATGTTCTCAAGAGGAGTAATGACCTTCTGCCTGTATTCTATAGCACCACCATGAACGCTTATTGAGTTATCGATTCCAGAGGGATTCCCATGAATCACACGCTCCCCTTCGTAAGCCCATGTATTGATTAACTCCATGTCTTCTCTGCTCCAATCAAGAGTATTGTCAGATGAAGATAAAGGGATTATGGCTTTGGCCCACGTCAGTAACCCTGCGGCAAGACAGACAGAAAAAGCGGCAGAAGATCCAAGCCCTGCACCTGGAGGAAGGGCAGAGGAAACCAGTGTGTCCAGGATTGGGAACTTCCCATTCCTACCAGCGATACACAGGTACAAGTACAGAAAAGCCATCACAGCTAATCGTTTTGTGGTCTCTGTGTCACTGTAACCTAGGAACAGTCGCAACCGCTGCATGATCTCCACACTTGGTTTCACCTCCATGACATCGCTGTTGAGCAGATCTCGGAATTGCTCCTGCAGTTCGAGGACGTCCCAAGATCTTTCAAGGTCGATGTCCGGCAGATTGAGGTGGAGCCGTCCGCTGTCTTTCTCCTTCAGACAAAGGTAGGACCGGAGATTGAGACCTGCGGCGAGTGCCGTCTTCCCGTGGACAACCGCATGTTCCCCATGGAGGATGATCTTGCCGGGTGCAGAGATGAAGATGGAAACTGGCTCAGATGTGGAATTATTGGCAAGTTCAGCTGTCATCTTGGATGAATTTTTAAGCGCACGTCTGCAAGAAATGCTGAGAATAAAAATGAAAACCAGAGAAAAGAAAAACTAGGCTTGAGTCGGTACGGTCGATCACACCGGGACCCGACCGTTGCCGTCGGGTCCCGGTTTCGTTTTTTGAGAACCGGCGCTCCGAAAAAAATAATGAAATATGTAAGAAATTGCAGTTTTGCACACCACTAAAATCAATCCACCCTAAAACTTAAGTATTTAATTGTTACCAATCGTATTCTAGCTCATCCAGAATCAATCCGAACTGCTGATATAAATATGGGTTGCAAAGCAGTTCGCCCCATGGGGTTGTTGTTACCAGCTGCTAGCTAGCTTCTGTACTGGCCGGGTCTCTCGGCAGAATTAATAAATCAGGTTGAAAGAAACATTAATGTTTGAATAATAAAACGACTTTCTAAAAAGTACTTCTTTACAACATACCGATCGAATAATTTTTAAAAGACAAAATATATATTTTTTCTTTGATTTTGAACACCGCATGCTTCTTTTAAAAGCTGAAAATGACTTGGTAATCACGAGAAGTTTCGATACGGATAGCTGCATGTTGCAATGCAAGTTCAGACTAGTCTCGGAAAAATGCGCAGTGCTCCTTGTTAGCTATAATGCGTGCCAGAACGAACCCAAACAAAGACGTGATCGTAACGAGAAAAAAAATCATTAAAAACTACGAGAGCACAATTGGAAAGACAACTACTCAAAATTATCGTAAGCAGATACATAACTTGGAGGAAGAATACAATAGTTGTCCAAGAAAAGCCACATAAATAGTGATATTTAATGAGTTACTATAGGTACAATCATTATCGGAAGGGCCTGCTGCAATATATCTAAACGTGTTTAAATTGAACACGAGGCAAATACCGCCCTCTACGGTAAAAAGCAGTATAACAAAGGATTCGAGTATTTGCAGCAGGCCCCTTGCGATAAGAATATGTACCCAGTTACTCCTCGATTATCACAATTTCTGTGGCATTTCTTGGGCGATTATTGAATTCTTTGTCCAAGTTATGTATCTGATTATGGTAATTTTGAGCAGTATATCTTTCCAATTGTGCTCTCGTAGTTTTTAATGATTTTTTTCTCGTTACGATCACGTCTTTGTTTGGGTTCGTTCTGGCACGCATTACAGATAGCGAGGAGCACTGCGCATTTTGCCGAGACTAGTCTGAACTTGCCTTGCAACAGCTATTCGTATCGAAACTTCTTATGATTACCAAGTAATTTTCAGCTTTTAAAAAAAGCATGCGATGTTTAAAATAAGAGATAAATATTTATTTTTGTCTTTAAAATATTATATGATCGGTATTGTACAGAAGAATTTTTTAGAAAGCCGTTTTATTATTCTAACATTCATATTTTTTGACCAGATTTATTCAACCTGCATAAATCAAAATGGCGGCTCGATTGTAGTCTTTATATTTTTGCTCGAGTTTTTTTTACTTTTAGAGGCACGATAATGGCACTAAACATCGCCAATCATGGATGAATATAATGTCAAATGGAAGAATATACCAATCTGTGCCGAGGTATGCATGTGTTGATTTATTTGACTGATAAAAATGTCACTTTTAAGGGACATACTGATGATATGCGCTTTTTATAGAGGCAAGTGACAAATCCTGCGAGCTGATTTCGGGACACCGGGTCCCGACCGGTGCAAGGCCGTCGGGACCCGGTTTATGAAAATCCCGACATGACTCAGGCCTAAGAAAAACCCAACGTCACTAAAGATTTATCCTTTTGATGTTTTTCTTCAAATACTGCAAATTCCCTAATCTTTAATATGTTTCAAATTGCCACTTTAAAAACACATTTAGAGTATGAGGCCCTGAACTTGTTTCTTCTCCTCTACAAAAACATTTTTCCAATATGTATTTCACTCAAAGTTTTTTTTTTTTTTTTTTTGTTGGGGGGGGGGGGGTATAAGGGGGGAGATTGTGTTTGTTTGTTTGTTTTTTTCTCTTTTTTTTCTGCTGTTCTAATGTTATTTTAGGGAAAAGGAATATTCAATCAACACAGATTCCTAGTTAGTGACTCATTAATTTAGATCAATTCATCTGGTGTTCATTTTTCACAGCATTCTGACAATTAGTATGACTCCATGAGCATGCACAAATTTGTGGGTGTTAATTGAACCGACACTGACAATTCTACATGAAATGTGAAGCTTGGAAGCCCTCATTCCAGGCCTCAAATGACTTACAATTAGGGTCTACACCTGTACATGTACAGTAGGTCCTTCATGAATAAATTAAGTTGTATCTAGATTATCAAATAGAGCTGTAAGTTGGACCAAGGGCCCTATCCTGTCTCGTCAAAAAGCAAAAGAAACAAGACCAAGATTTCTCAGAATATTTTCTCGACCAAGTACTAAGTAGCCCGCTAATTGCAACTGCGGGCTGATGGAGAGTTCGAGACGCAAATTAGCTGGCTAACTTGATTGAGATCAGATCATCGGGCTAGTTACAAAAGCAGGTTATTTTACAACTTCAGTCTGATGAAGACAGGCCAGGTGAGTTGTCAACTGGCTCAGTCATCACTGTGAGTGTCTGTGATAAGACAGTGCAAGATTTTGTTGTATTATAAAAAAAGTCTGCCAGGCTCGCTAGAACTAGAAGTCAACTAGTCTAGAAGTAAGATTAGAAAGCAGGGTTGTTGATTTTTTTGATTTAAATCAGATTTTTATGATTTAAATCAGATTTTTTTGATTTTTTTCCAACGAAAAATAATGGTCACACTTAACAAGTTTTAGACTATATTTAAACTGTTTTACACCAATAATAGTGGTCAAGTAGTCTTTTGAACATTGTGTATTGTACTATTTGACACAATAATCCACTTATATACAGGTAATTTTTTTAATTTTTTTTTTTATTTATTTGCATTATAGAGAGGGACATTTTATGGAAGCCCAAGTAATGTTATGTATTATGTATACATTTAAACTCTTGAAATTTTTATATCAGTCAGTTCAAAACATCCGAAGTGTTACTCCAATGCATGAAGTACTCAAAGAACTTGAGAATTTCCAACAAGTCACAACTGTACGTTAACATCTAATTTGAATGTAATATTTAACCAGATTTGCAATAGGCACTTCCTGATATGCTTGTAACAAAATACACATTTTATGTTTTCATTACAGTGTAACCTCAGTTCCAAATAAAACTTCAATAAATTTTGTTGCAAGATGCAGGATAAGCACCACTGTCCACCACATCATTGATGTGCTGTTTTTTCAAACTATTACATGAACAAGCAAGCACAGCAGTTGTATTGCTGCATACAGTAACACTTGCCCAGCAACTTTCCCATTTTTAAATTCTTACTTATTAAGTATACATGTGTACTTTGAAATTGTGTAATTGAATGTATGGGTAATTGGGTATTGATAAGAAAATACACAAGCATGCAAATATACATGTAATTCTTATCAAATGTACACATATGCCTTCAACTTAAGTAATTGAAAGAATGGGTATTAATAGTAACAAGAAGGAGGTACATACAAGTAGTTCAGCTGTTTTGTAAAAGTATCCAAGTTGTGGACTTTGAGCACCTTTGTAGATTTTATATATTATTTTATTGAAGATTTAACAGTTTGGTGTACATACAGAGAGTTATTTATCATTACTTCGTTAGAAACTTGTTGTTTTCATCAGTTTTGCTTGTTTTACAATTTGAAAATAAAACAGTGGTGTTAAATCAGACTCCATGAGGGTGTATCATTCTTTTAAAGTATCTCTAAAGCATGTGGAACAGAAATGAAAATGATTACATTGAAAGTATCTGTTAAGAAGAAGAGAAAATAGAGAAAAATAATTTTTTTCATAAAAGTTGATTTAAATCAGTGATTTTTTTGAAAAAAATCAAGTGATTTAAATCGCGATTTAAATCATGATTTAAATCGACATGATTTAAATCAAACAACCCTGTTAGAAATAGCCTTAAGGGCTCTCTCGAAATGTTTTTTTAATGATATTATTCGAGAGAGCCTTAAACCGCTCCCATACCCCTGCACGGAGAGGCATGTAAACAAAACTCAAAAGTGGTCCAAAATCACACTTTCGCGCACCCGACCAATATTGGACAGTGGCTTTGATAAATTTTGTCCTAGTTTTGGTCTTAATTACCGCTTTAATTTCAAAATCGGATCTAAAAATAACAAAATAAGAGCAATTTTCTTACCAGACCGATACAGCTCAGCTCCCTTTTCACGTGTACCGTGTGAATTCACGATGTCTACACAATGGTGATGACCTCTGACTGGCACTTCCGTAATTGTGGGTAAATTGTGCTGCTTCCGTATAATGCGCTGTATGAGTGTTATTCAGCGCATTATACGGAAGCAGCACATTTACGAAGTGCTAGTCAGAGGTCATCACCATTGTGTAGACATCGTGAATTCACACGGTACACGTGAAAAGGGAGCTGAGCTGTATCGGTCTGGTAAGAAAATTGCTCTTATTTTGTTATTTTTAGATCCGATTTTGAAATTAAAGCGGTAATTAAGACCAAAACTAGGACAAAATTTATCAAAGCCACTGTCCAATATTGGTCGGGTGCGCGAAAGTGTGATTTTGGACCACTTTTGAGTTTTGTTTACATGCCTCTCCGTGCAGGGGTATGGGAGCCGTTTAAGGCTCTCTCGAATAATATCATTAAAAAAACATTTCGAGAGAGCCCTTAACTTAAGGCTAGTTAGAAAGTAACTAAGGAACATCCATTAGTTACTTCATTGCACAAGTCAAGAAAATCCTTTCACACTTCAACACACACATATATTCATGGTCTGCATAATCAATTGCATTCCAAACGTACCAAGCAAAAGGCGAAAAGCCAAGGACAGGCCAAGCCGCAGAACCAGTGCAGAGATAGCATTATGCACCAGTTAGTTAGGCAGTAGCCCTACGCCGCTCCTGTGCTGCAGCCCGTGAATACCAGGGCCCAGGTGCTAGGCGGAGGCAAGACGGCTAGCGCTGCACACACACCCGACGACAGATCTAGATCTAGATCTACCAAAAGATCATTTTGTTCAACGAAAAAACAAGTTAATGTAAACAAAAAAGACATTTATAAATCATGCATACCTCTTTGTGATTAAGTGGAAAGCAGTCTGAAATATGTTGCGTTTTAAAAACAGATTCGGTGGCCATCAGAAAGCAGAAAAATGATCCTGTCCTAGAAAGAAAAACATCGACCTTGCTCAGCTAGCCTAGTCTCTATTCAAATCGTGATAGTCATGGTTTTCACTTAGAAATGTTATCGAATCATGCATATGTGACAAAAAATTATTCATATTCATACGTTACAAATATTAATAATTTTTTGTAAATACTTTTATGTTTTGAGCTATGATTTTGAAAAAGTTGAGCTATAAATAATTACTTTTGCCTGAATTGTTGATAACACTAGCTTACCTTCATCGGCCGATATCGGGCGATTGAGAACACATTGATCACGCGGAAGGGGCGGGGCAGAACCTAACAAAACAATAACTACCTCATCTCGTTTTGGAAAAAAATATTTTATCTAGTAACAGCTGGTCCCTTATTTGATTGAAAACCTCACAATTGATCTATTAGGCTATAAACAAAAATAACATGTTTAGCGTCCCCGCCCGCTTCCTTTTTGGGGGCCGCCTCCTATTTATTTTTTTTTGAATTTTTTGTATTTTTGAATTTTTTTCTTTTGAAAAAAAAACATGAAAAACACTGCTAAAATGGATCTATTTCTTAATAATAAAAAAAAAAAAAAAAAGTCGGCGGCCAACTTGAAAAAAAGCGCGATTGTCAGGGAAAATGTACCGAACGGCCATTTTGAGCGGTCATTTTGAAGAAAAAAAAGGGCCTCCTCCTTCCTATTTTTCAAAAAAACAGGACGCTAAACATGTTTTTTTTTTTGTATTTGCATGGCCTTATAGAAGATAGTGACAAAAACGTAGGTATAAAGCTAGCAGACAACGCCTTATTTATTCCTTTTCAATATAGTCCCCCCCCCTACCCCCTATACGCTCTCTAGCTTTCTCTCTCTCTCTCTCTCTCTCTGATCTCTCTTTCTCTCCATCTATTGCTCTCTTTCTCACTCTCTCTCTCTATTATAGTGCTGTCTTTCTTCCTCTCTATGTCCGCCTAGCACTCTCTCTTTCTCTCTGCCACCACCTAGCTCTCTAGCTCTCTTTCTCTCTCTCCATCTAGACTGTCTTCCCCCCCCCCCCCTCGCTCGCTCCCTAGGCTAACCCTAACCCTGATTAGTAATAATATCTCCCCATTAAATTTCGATATTTCAAAAAATGTCTATATACCATAAACATGAAACAAAGTCAAACACAATGAGTATACCATTATCAAAGTGATATATTTATTTCTTTTGTACAAAATGGAATATACATTACATGTACAGAATTTCATTGCAAATCATAATCTTTCACTACCTCCATTAAAGGCATTGTTTAACAATGTTTTTAGTTATACAAATCTGAGATGCGTGGCCCTGCATGACGTTATCAGTGTGTGTGATATGGAATACTATATTTTGAAGCCCTAAAAGAAGTGCACTTCATAATGATCAAGAAGTGCCTCAAAAAAATAAAAAATCTTTGAGTGACCAGTTTTATCATACCGGTACTGATTTCACCCAATTGACTGTAGTGTCATTACAAAAAATGTTCAAAATCCTTGGGAAAACGATTTCTTAAAATTTTGAATTCCAATCATAAATATCTAGATAATCAAACATGCGTTTATTGATAAATAAGTATACATCATAAATTGAGCAAATAGACATTGTAAAATGCCTCAACAGTGCTTCCTTGTACTGGGAGTAGTGTGCTTCAAACCAACGGTACAGGAAGCGGCAAGTGACAAACACTCTATTTCATATGAATTACCGTAATTCTTCAATACAAAAATAAATTGAAGCCTTGAAATGAAACCGAGCATAATACTTCACTATGAGATGGATTATGTTCATAATATCGATACAAAAATATTGTGCTCTTGTACGGCACATACTACATTTAATTCTCTACATGCTTTAATCATTCTTTCATACATTCACCAATAAGAAAAGAGCTTTTGAAACTACTACCTGGTAATTGGTAAAATAGTCCTGTTCCCTGCCTCACAGGTAGAATTATGGACTCATGTAGACTATAATTTTACCTGCAAACAAATGACACAACATGTGCACCATCTCCATCACCATGAACGAGGCTGAACAATCAGTGTGTTTCTACAGGAGACCCGGAAATTAACAATATCATAGATCCGGAATAGGCCCGGAAAAGTTGCCTCTATCTGCATGCGACCAGTCCGTTACAATAGAAGTTCAGTTGATGGGATTTAGAAGACTTTAGCAAAATTTAGCGGACTATTGTGGACTTAAGCGGGACTGTCGGAGGTTTCGAAAGTGTGCATGGTAATGCATTGTGTCAGGTGACCTAAGTGCTAACACTAAAGTCTAGAAATGTTTTTACAAATAAAAATTCCTCCTCTGAAGACCGTTATGCTATTCTGTTGGCGTTAGTGTTATAATTGGATTATGGTGTTTTCCTACAGAAGCGAGTACAAAAGTCTGGATAAATGCGGAAAGTAACAGAGAGTAACGGAGAGTAACAGAGAGTAACGGAGAGTAACGAGGAGTAAGAGTACTTTGAAATCTTGTAAAGACACACCAAAAGACTTAGTCCACATGAAGAGCTAGGCTTTCCTGCTTGTCGTGATCAATTGGAGTTGTTTTGATAGTGATGTTTTCAGCGGATCTCAAAATCTTGTCAGAATGATGGGGAAGTTTTCCGTTATCAAATGGTCATCAAGGAGCACTACTACCAAGTTGATTTCAAATTCTGAGAACGGAAGAAGAAGAAAACAACAAATGAAGAAATTACCAGTATAGTACAGCTATCTAAAGATTACCGTAATTAACCGCACTTTTTTGCCGCCAAAAAAAATTCAAAGTGGGGTGCGTCTTATACACAGGTACAATTATTTATTTTTTAAAGTTTTGATTTACGCCCCTCCACCTGGCGCTATGCCTGGAAATGTCCCCCAGCTCAGTAGTCGGTGTGTTAACTCAACACTCAAAATTGTCTGTCATCTTGGTTTGAAAGTAATCTTTCTGATAGATTTCCATATGTAGTTTATAAGTTTATAATAATAATTCCTCCAATTTTTCTTCTATTACACACGGCGTACCACAAGGTTCTATCCTAGGTCCTCTACTGTTTTTTAATTTACATTAATGATCTTACACATTCAACTGCACCTCGCAGTAAAATGAAAGGCCTTCCCTCGTTTATACAACGTAAATTACGGTACAAACATGCAAAAATAGTAAGAGAATAGAGATAAATCCGGAAGTAAATAACAAAAAGGGGGAAAAAGATTAAGGCTGAATCTGTACTTAAACATTTTGACAATAGTTTCTAGCCAACAATTCATGTTATTTTGGGCCAATATGGGGTAATAATCAAGTAGTACTGATAAATGCCATTCACCTCTAAATCACTCTTTGGTGAAAAGAGTGAAATTCGGCCTATTCTGTAAAATATGTGCTTCCTTTTATATACCGTACTGGAGTCACACCAAATTAAATGTTAGTCAAGAAAAGCATAACGAGATCAGTGGTATAATCATATAATCAGCAACCTTGTGGATTTGTATTTCATTTTCCGACCAGTTCAGTAAACACCACTGCCTGACCCCCCCCCCCCCCCCTCCCAAAAAAAATCAAATCATTGTTTCATTGCCCGCCCCCTCAACGGGTGGACTCACACGACACCACTGTATCTGTATCTCATAGTATCCATCTCTTCTTCAGGGGTTATAGTGAGCACTAAAAAAAAATAAGTCCTTTTTTCTTTCCTCAACCACCCGCCCCCTTGAGTAAAAAAAAAAAGAAAAGAAAAGGGATTCGGGGAAAAATATTGCATCTAACAACATTCCCCCCATTTTGAGTAAGAAAATTGGGAGAAAATAGGACAAATCAGGAAAAGAAATAAAAAATGATTTAAATTGGGTAATTATCAGGCCTGCTTCTTACTTTAACAAACTTACCAACTTTGAAGTTACTAGTGGCTAGCGTCGGGCAGGTGAAGAGACGAGGGAACACCATGTACATGGGGATGGTGAGCCCCCTACAGACGTTGCCTTCTCCGATCTGAATGTTCTGAATCTCAGTGGCTACAAAATACAACATTCAAAAGAATACTGATGTCTAGAGCAAGAATGATAATAACTTCAGATATTTAGAGGTTCTAAAAACAAAAAAATACCAGTGTTTAGAAATATTGAGAATGGTAACAATATCCAAGAACAATTTATAATGTTCAACAACGAGAAATCTACCACTTCTTTGATAATGTCAAAATTATTTTTGGAATGACACAAAAATTTTTAAAATAAGAGTAAATTACATGATTTATCAATTAAAAAATTACACAGGGGAAAGTAATGATTAGAATGATACATTATCATACTACATGTATCAATCAATTGGTATAATAAAATCTTATTTCAGGATATGTTGGTAGCTTCGCACTTCATGGATAACATGTCGGTACATTTAAGACAACTTAAAGGATGAAATCATGACTGAAAATTTCCTTGCTCCACATTAGAGCTGGTCCACTCTGTATATCGAACTGTTGTACCATAGATCATTAATCTAAATCTCACATCAATTAGAGAATAAAACATTACTCAGAGTAATCTAGTAAATGATTGTTAATATACAAATATACACTGTCTTGAGAGGTTCTGGTTAAAAATATAGGCAAGAGGTGACTCCAATAGTACTCTTTGTTGAGGAGCGCAGCCCTGAAGATAATAGTACTATTGGAATCACAGAGGTTCGTAATTTTAACCCAGCAACCGAAAAGAAGGCAGGGTATATTTGTTTTATATCTTACATCAAAATTTTATTTTATCCTGCATCAATTTTTTTTTTTTAATCCTGCATAAAAAATATGACTTTAGCACAGCGTAGATTCCATGACGTGAGCGTCGTGACATTGCCGGAGTTGACTGCTGGAGGCATTTTAAATCCTGTACGCTCACTGAATTTTCAAACCATTCAACCCTTCAAAAACTAATAAATTTTTGATATAATATAATAAGATTTTGAATGTCCTTAATGAAGTAGGCTTACCATCCCTGGCGTACCCCTCGGCACACCCACAAGTCTCCACTCTAACTAGCTGGATTTCCACTGATTTGATTGGTGCGTTGCAGCTTTCTATGATCACATGACCTGTAAGGGGGTTCTTAATGCAGCAGCTTGCAGAGTCGAGTCTGCCTTTGATGATGAAGTTTGGTAGTGCTGTTTTCTGTTAGATTTGGGGTGGAGATTGAGAGAGAGGGAAGAGGGAGGGGGAAGGGGAAGAGAGGAGGAGGAGAGGAGAGGAGAGGAGTAGGGGAGGAGGGGGATGTCCAAGAGTAGAAAAGAGACAAGTATATTATATATACGTACATATGTATGTTTACATAATGTACATGTGGTAAGTCTTGACTTCAATATTCAACACCATTTAATCTGATCTTATTTTTTCAGTATCAGTCATGTTTTACTCTAAATCAAGAAGTTGATGGTTCAATCTCTGCTAAATGCACATGAAAAGTCACTCTGTCTCTCTCTTGACACAGATGTAAATGTTAGGATATATTTCTGAACACAGTGCATTAAAGGGATCGTGTAACAATGTTAAATCTGAGATACACGGCCCTACATGTTATCAGTGTCTGTGATATGGTGTAATACTGAAGCCCTAAAAAAATTGCGCTTCAAAATGATCAAGAAGTGCCTCAAAAAAGTAAAAATCTTTGAGTGACCGGTTTTACCATACTCGTTTTCCCCAATAGACTGTAGTGTTATGAAAACCGTCAGGCGAACGGTTTTCAAAATTTGTAATTCCAATCATAAATATCTTGATAATCAGACAGGCAATCGGCTTGTAAAAGTCATAGGGTTCCTGACTGACCTAAAGGTTTATAATTATCATTGCATCATGAGCTAAATCCAGAATTTTTTTTCAGAATCTGAGACAAAGTTACCGGATCCCTTTAAGAATGGCTGCTAGAGCATACCGAGTCATAACAATAATTTTCAAACCACTTTTAAAGTACAAAGGGATGTTTGTTTAATATACAAAGACAGATTAAAAACATTAACACAGTGGGTAGTCAAAGTGCTACATGATTAGCCAATCTTATTAGCTATATTTGTTGTACAATTAAAGAAAATTATTTCAAGAGTTACTTCTTACATCTTTGACATTCTGTAATGATTGGGGAGTGACGGTGAATGGTACGGGCTTGGGTTCTGCTTTGACTTTCTGGTCCTTGTATTCAATGATGAATTCTATCGTCTTCACCAGATCCTTGGCGAGAAGAGAACGTTTTGCCTGTGCTTTCAGAGTGTACTGTGCAAAGTAAACAAAATACAGAAATAACATATTGTGAGTGGAACTGTCCTTTGACAAGACATTGAACTACATTTGCCACACTCAACCCAGTTGATGTAAAATGTGTACCTGACAGGAATTAATTCCTTGAAATGCTAGAGCGCCGCAGTGGCCACCTTGATAAAGCAAGGGTAATAATCGGGGCAGCGCCAGGAGCGTCACAAAGTGAGGGACATGTGCGCTATATAAAAAGCCACCATTATTATTATTATTATTATTAAAAAGATATACATACTCTAATTAACAATTTTATGCTGTTGGAGGCACCGATGACTCAGTGGTAGAGCAGGGGTCCCTCAACCGGGAGGTTCCGAATTCAAAACCGAGACAATGCACTCATGCCATTTGAAAAGGCATTAATCTTCATTACCAAGTCCCTCGGAGAGGACTGAAAGTTGTTGGTCCTCTGGTTGCTTACTTACATATGTACAAGCATACACATGCTTTTTTAGCTGTCAGGTATAACAATCCCTCAATTTTGTTGCTGTACTTTGATGAGGAGCTCAATTCAGGCAAGGTAAAATGAAACTCAATTCAGGCAAGTAAAAAGGAAAACAAAAGACTCATATCATCAGAACTTTTCAAAATGTTACCATTGTATTTGATGATGAACTCAGCTGTCATTACTAGATTCTTAGGAAGAAAGGAAAGCAGTACCTGTACTTTAAGAGGGTACTGTTCAAATACCGTTGAACAAATATAATATTACATGTACATCTTTTAATAATTGACCAGGAGGGATTAGACTACCCTGCATGGTCACTGACAGGTGGTTATCTCATCAAATCAGCTCTCAATTAACATAAGAAAAAGAGGATCATGGGGGACAAACGGTCACCGATTAGGCATTGGCTGCTTTATAGAGGGCGCAAGTAGCTATAAGTAGTGCATTGGGGCTTTAAGCAAAGGAAATGAGAAATACATTACACTCTAATTATCACAATTTGTCTCCTACATATTGCAATTCTTTTTTATATCATTTAAATTATTGCACTTACCGGTATTGCAATCATTATACGACTCTTGAAAGTAAACAAGTTGATTTCTGAATTTCTCGAATTCCCACTGGCTTTATATGTGAACCGACCAGTTCCAGTAGGCAATGGTTTAATTTATGACCGCTGTCTCAAAGGTATGGTGGTCTGTAAGAGATTGGGATAGCTCTTCAAGAATGAGTATTGACACAAAAATCAACCCAAAATAAAAACTGACCTGAACGTTAACAAACACACCATGGTACGTCTCATAGAGCGTCTTGTTAAGTTTGGCCTTTAACGGGACTTCGAATGGGATCTCCGTCTTTCCAGCTGGGATCTTGCCGGGTTTAGCTGCATTCAGCGTCACACTCAAAAGCGGGATGGGCTGGGGGTAGTAAAATACATTTAACATCAGTGAATAGTGAATACAATACAATAGCAGTGAGTGACTTAGCTCTGGGAAGCTCAAAAGAGCCATGGTAAATAAACAATAAAATGATTGAATATCAATGTCAGAAAACCACACTTAAGTAGATCTATATAACACCAAATCCTTAAAAGAGCCCTGTGAACAGAAAGTGTTTTATACACTGTTTATTATAGATAATTATGTCTTAATGACCTTGGCCCAGCAATACTGGTTACCGGTAATTAATTATATTATTACAATTTTTTATTGTCACTGTTTTTTACGGATAACTGATTTTTCTTATAAAACTGAAGATATGGCGTATATATTCAATACTGAATGAACACCATAAAACTAGGCTACATACATGTAAAACTCTTACCAACAACAACAACAACCTTGGCCCTGTCTCATAAAGAGTTGATATTAATTGCAACTTATTCGCGATTGATATCGATCACAAATATGTACATTGATAACAGGTAGGGGACTGCAAAATTGCGATTGATTGGAGGACTTGCCATTAATTTGGATCAATCAAAACTCTTTTTAAGACAAGGCCCAGAACTACTGAATAATGAGTACTTTTAATATCCAGAAGTGTATTCTGTGGTGATAGACTTGCTAATAAATATTTTTGATGCATGTTTCTTACAACAAAAAAAACTATTACTCCACGGGCAACATCATGAGGAATGTATAACATAATAAAATGTATCATGTTCAAAGGCTTAGGGCCTTAAAGGGATCGTTTAACAATGTTAAATATAAGATACACTGCCCTACGTGTTATCAGTGTCTGTGATATGGTGTAATATTGAAGCCCTAAAAAAAATTGCGCTTCAAAATGATCAAGAAGTGCCTCAAAAAAGTAAAAATCTTTGAGTGACCGGTTTTACTATACTCGTTTTCCCCAATAGACTGTAGTGTTATGAAAACCGTCAGGCGAACGGTTTTCAAAATTTGTAATTCCAATCATAAATATCTTGATAATCAGACAGGTGATTGGCTTGTAAAAGTCAAGGGGTTCCTGACTGACCTAAAGGTTTATAATTATCATTGCATCATGAGCTAAATCCAGAATTTTGTTTCAGAATCTGAGACAAAGTTACCGGATCCCTTTAGGGCAAATTCTCTCTGACAAGGGTAATGAATACCATGGACAGTGCATACTTTAAACAGGCAAAATAAGTTGGTCCTCCCTAACCACCCCTTGGGATGCTACAAGACAATCATTTACTCCATCAGGAACAAAAGGCCTGCCTTCATCAGCTAAAGATTGCCAAATATCCTGCTATTTGAACTAGATAATTAACTGGATAATTTGCATCCTCATGAGCCCGAAGTTGCAATCAGCGAGATAATCATCACAAGATATCTTGGGCTAGTTTGCAAAATATCCCGCTTTTTGTCCGGTGCGTCTTCACCAGCCCAAAAACTTGCATTATGCGCGAACGCTGAGCAAAATATCTTGGGCTTGAGTTTCAAGTTTCGAGGTCAAGTCTGATGAAGGCACGATTTGTAACTTCAGGATTATTTCCCAAATCAGAAATAGCAGACTATTTTCACCAGCCCAAAAACTCGCATTATGCGTGAACGCTGAGCAAAAATATATCTTGAGCTTGAGTTTCAAGTTTCGAGGTCAAGTATCGATTATTCATACCTTAATTGAGTTGTAAAAGGCTTCAAAGTGACCGACACTTTTGCTGCTAAGTTGAAGATTGACCGATCCCTCGGCTACGAGCGTTATTCCTTGATGCTGGAACTCCGTCTTTGTCTGGATCACGATCACCCCAGCAAGTACTTCCTGCAGGTCAATGAAAAAATTACATTAAATTTGGGGAATCAGATGGATTTTACTGATCACTTAAAGCATGGTTTCATCCCAGACACATGGGCACTCAAAATCCTAGTCTAAATCCCCCAAATTTCAAACTTTTAACAAGTGGGTCATGTAAATGCAAAATAATATTATTACTAAAGAGACCGCCCTTGATTTACCTCCGCTCGAGTCTGCTGCACCCTTTGCTAGCATAAAGTGAATCATCAATCATTTAGTTTCAGCTTGATGATAGATCAAACATAATTGACAGCCACAAACTCGGTCCATACGGTTCGTTTGGCGGCCGCATAATGTATGAGTTTTGACATATGTGCATCATGGTTAGGTCAAATTTTTCATTGAGTTTACACAGAGATTCAGGACCAAAAATGCGACCAAGAGAAGCACACAATACTGTACGAACCCCCTCTTCACCAGGATTGACGTCAATAGAATTCTGATTCAAGTTTTCAAAGTATTTTTTCCAACTTTGGTGAGTTGAATTGATTGTCTCCTTCTTCTTTCTTCTATAAGACTTGGTTCCTCTTCTTCTCTCTCTCTCTCTCTCTCTCTCTCTTCTTGAATTCTTCTTCTCGACTTCTGCTGTCTCCTGATTTCTTTCTTCTTTCTTCATCAAGACTCAAGACTCAAGTTCATGATCTTCTTCTTTATCTTCTTCTTCTCCTGGACAGTAGTGCTGTAGTCAAACGTTTAACCGTCCGGTATCCGACCGCCCATGGCGGATTCCGTTTTCAATTGGACGGTTTCGTTTTCCCGTTTTTTTTTTTTTTTTTTTTTTTTTTTTTTTAATATTTTTTTTTTTTTTTTTTTTTTTAAAGTTTCGATTTATGCCCCTCCACCTGGCACTATGCCTGGCAATGTCTCCCAGCTCAGTAATCGGTGTGATGACTTACAACTTGGAAACTAGAACAACACTCAAATTTGTCTGTCATCTTGGTTTGAAAGTAATCTTTGTAATAGATCTCAATATATATTCATCCAAGTTTAACACATGGTGTACTACAAGGTTCTATCCTAGGTCCTCTACTGTTTTTAATTTACTTTAATGATCTTACACATTATTCTAAAACGACATTGTTACTATTATTTGTTACTAGTTCACAAGCACAAATCGGCGCCTTCAGTTAAATCAACTTCCTGCTTTTTCACACGGCCAAAATAAAATATAAAAAATAAAAAATAAAAAACGATTTTTTTTTTTTTTTTTTTTTTTTTTTTTTTTAAATCGTTTAACCGAAAACCGTCCGGTTTTGACAGGCGGTTAAACGGAATTGGAGATATCCGTGATGTTACAGCACTACTGGACAGTCATTTAATTTCTACAGAAACAAATTTTGACATAAAATGTGCAATGCTTTAGCACTCCTTCTAAATCTTATATAACCTAGACTAGAGGTACTATGACTAGAGTCAATTTAGATCGTTAGGGATCAATAGGGATCGTTTAACAATGTTAAATCTGAGATACACGGCCCTACGTGTTATAAGTGTCTGTGATATGGTGTAATATTGAATCCCTAAAAAAATTGCGCTTCAAAATGATCAAGAAGTGCCTCAAAAAAGTAAAAATCTTTGAGTGACCGGTTTTACCATACTCGTTTTCCCCAATAGACTGTAGTGTTATGAAAACCGTCAGGCGAACGGTTTTCAAAATTTGTAATTCCAATCATAAATATCTTGATAATCAGACGGGCGATCGGCTTGTAAAAGTCATGGGGTTCCTGACTGACCTAAAAGGTTTATAATTATCATTGCATCATGAGCTAAATCCAGAATTTTGTTTCAGAATCTGAGACAAAGTTACCGGATCCCTTTAAAGGAAGGTGGAATTTCGTTTGACTAACACCAAAAGCCGCACATGGGACAATAGACATTATTAAGGTAGTAATTATTGCTAAATTTACACACTTACTCCTTCGCTGTAAATCTTATTAGCTTTCTTCAGACGTAAATCAAGTAGCCCCGCCATTTGGAACGTTGAAATGTGAAATTCTGGACTTTTTATCACTTTCAATCAAGTTTGAAGTTGAAGTGGACGTCGTACTCGTACTCTACGTCATGACGTAGGTGGGCGGAGAGACCTTGTGATCGTTTAGTCGGCCGGTTATCGATATTAACTTACTTTTCGCACCCCCCCCCCCCGCCCCCCCCCCCCCCCTAACGCGGCCCCTCGTTTCTATTCACTGACACTGCACTGATAAGGTAAATCCTTTTCACATTTCTAACACAGCCTTGCCCTATTATATTTGAAAAGCGCTATACAAGAACGAGCTATTATTATTACCAACTCATTAATTGTTCTTCTAAAATCATTAACATGCAAGACAATATAGACCATTTTCGTAATGTACGTAATAAAAAATGCATAAATCTTTGTATATGTTACAAATTATGTCGTAAACCTCACATGCATAATTATAACTGCTCAATCCTCTCTCCCACATGGTGCAACTTTTTTGTGTGCACTTTTTCAAATATTCCGGGGGGGGGGGGGATCGACGAAAAAAAAATCGATCGCCGCCCCATAGTATTGGACAAACATTATGGCTTGTCCTACAATAATAAGGAGTTATAAATCTAGAACTCCTAATTAGTCTTATTTAACGACACGGATATGCACTCGCATTCTAACCATTGAAATACCATTTTTCGTATATCTATAACAGGTGTGTGAAATCATTTGTAACAAGGCATTTATATATTATGACAAAGATGTTTGCATCGAATTTGATTACATTACGAAAATGGTCTATTGAACTCGCTCTTTTCTCATGAAAGAATTAAAGGTATTACAAAGTTTTGGTATGGGGTCATGAATTTGGTTCAAATTAACATATTGGAAGCATATGCGTTCGTACAATATACATTGATCGTTGTCGCAGTCGAAATCTAGTCTAAAGTTATGAAATTGTAAATAATAAACTCTTTATGTTGTATAGCTCCCTCTCAAGGTCAAGATAATAATTTAGCTAGGAAACAATGTTTCTTGACTAAAATCGACCGATTAGCTATTCCCGTTTGGAAATTATATATCCCAACTACATATTCTGATATTTTCATGGTCGCAGCTAACATTATACGGCCATAGGCGCTATTTGAAATTTATCATAATTTACCGGGAGTACCGGTAAATTTTTATATTCATTTTTTCTCGAAAACAGAAGTGTTTTAGGGGCTAATTTTTGTATTGCTCATAATGCATCCACAGGGGCATCCAAATATACCAAAATTGTAAAGATTCACTATCCACCCAAATTTCAAAATTTCCCAAAACTTTGTATTACCTTTAAGGTCTTTTTCTGTTTTCCTTCGACATGCATTGGCTTATCCCTTATATTCATACCCCAGTGTCCATATCCGCTGACTTGCGAGTCAACAAATCATCTCTCTCTCTCTCTCTCTCTCTCTCTCCCTCTCTCTCTTTCCCTCTCTTTATTTCCTCGTTTTTGTGACCGTTTCAAGTCGTTGCACTTCTGCACTCATGTTCTTATGAACGAATTTCGGCCGGTGCATAAAATCTATGCCTATACAGCGATTTTCTCTTACAGGCGCATTTCATATTCCCATAATTCGTACATTACAAACTAACAAACAAACAAACGTCATTGAATATTGGGTGACAATAAGCCATATTCAGTTATCAACTATTATTATTATTACTAGTTTTATTTCATCAGGGTGCATGCATGGTCTCATTTCAAGACCATTTCTAGACCTGCTCTCCCAGAGAGCCATCCATTCACATAAAAACATAGATTCAAAACATACATGCATTACAAAGGTAAAATTATACATGGCATATACAATAATTAAACTCAAATTGATATCAATAAGAAAAAAGGGGGAAAAAGAAGTTTAAATATAGGTAACATAAAAACACACGTTAACAATTATAAGAAATAACTTGAAGCAAATCACAATCTATATATTCCAAATGTAATAGGTCTTTACTTTTGCTCGTTTACATTGCAATGCCGAACAGATGAATGGTCCAATTGTGACATTAGTGATTTTTTTCCCCTCTTTTTTTCTCCATCTTTCTCTTCTTCCTTCTTGATATTGGAAACAGTGCAAGACGGAGCGCGATTAGCGAAATAATGTGAAAGCATTAGTAGGTCCATGATATGAACGGTTCATCATTCCTTGCACGACTGAGCTAAGTGAAGAGAGGTGTTACGTAAGAAGGTCACCAATGCCTTGTCTGCTAGGGTTTACGAATAACCCTCATTGTGTTGCACCAGGAAATAATTTCAGAAAGGCCAAATTGTGGGAGAAGACACTCATTGTGACGTATGTCTATGACTGACGTTATGATTACAATTAGCATGCTATTCTCATTTCTGATTTATGCGGACAATTTAACTGGAATTTGTGTACCAAAGGAACATATATTTTGGAGTCTACTTTTATAGGAATATCCGACTGTCTATTTCGCCCATCCTTTTCCCAATTTCACGAGGGAAGAGAAGCAACTTGGGATGCCAAAGCGAAGAAGGTAATATGACGTTATAATTCTAAAACGAGACTATAATACGATCTTTCAGACGAATTTTCAAAGGCCATTCAAAAAAGGGTTTCAAGCAGACTTGAATTCAATTCACGGTTTATTGTTTTGTTTTGATATTTTGTTGTTTTATTTAATTTGTTTGCTTTTTTCGTTTTTTATTTATTATTTAATTTGTTTGCTTTTTTTTGTGCGAGTACAATTCCATTGTGACCCTGCAGGCCATGGGTTAAATCGATGAAAAAATATTATTATAAGGACAGCGAGAGGAGGAAGAAGAAGATGTCGAAAGAAAATAATAAATGATCTGTGAGAATAGTATAGCTCTAATTATTCGACCACAGGGCTACTCCCGATTCTACATTTCCTCCTCTTGTGTGTATGTGTGCGTATGTATATATATATATATATATATATATATATATATATATATATATATAAATATTAATATATATAATATATATATATATATATATGCTAAAACTATGTCTTCTTTTATCATAGCATACAGAACTCCCGATGGTAAATAAATAAACATGAACCGGGCAAACAGGAGATACGCCACAGCATAATGAATAGCCACACTAATTATTTCTGTTATGAAAATCATATAAGTCATTATGTTTGGAGGAATTCAAATAGATTCGAACTTAGTTGAATGCATGAAATAACATATCATTACTTTAATATCTGACTTACGATCGCAAAAATTTCACTGAAAGATAAACCTAATGCAATTTCAAAACGTCTTGTCTGCCAATAAGTAAAATTACAATGACGTACAATCCGAACATGGTTTATCGAAAGTCGATCTTAATTTGCGATCATTGTTGTTTTTGATTATATCATTGCAACAGAATAACTACCAGGACTGGACCGTTCCTAATGAAGATGGACCTTCGAAAGGTGGTCTTGGGCCTAGACTGGTCCATGAAGACCCCTCCTTAGCCCCTCCCCATGACGATCCCGGTCTGAAGAAGGGACTGGGTTACGGTCTCGATGAGGAAATCGAGGTCGACGTCAGGGAAATGGTACGAAAATATGAAGATCACGACCTTGGAGAGGTTGCAGATGGTCCGGAGAGACAAGTACCAGCGATCAGACCCAACATCAAGACAGATCAATCGGTAAGCAGACCTACCTGTATTTTTAATCTACACACCAAAATTAAGTTGTAAATGTATAAATGTAATTATTATTGTGCGAACCTACACCCAACAAGCATTGCTTTCAAGTAGGTTCGTTGTTTTGTTCTTCATTTCCTGTAACCAAATAATTTTCCATTACAATGACTAAAAAACAATGTCAAAGATATTGCAATGCTCATTTCTGTTATATCATTGCCTTTAAAGATACTATGTCCCTTTTGCAGTCAACCTCGATTCTGTAGAACTTTGCAGGAATTATGAATATGTTATGTATGTCCTATCTGTGAAATTTAAACGTTAGCAGTGTCCTAATATTCAAATTATGCAAGGAAACCCGTTTACTTGCTAGACTTTACTGTCAGACACTATTGTCAGTTTTGAGTGACTGACTGACTTTTTCTTCTTCTCTGGTAATAACATAGATAAAATGAGCTATGAGGATTTGTCTACATCAATAACCCACTTCTTGTAATGGCCAAAATTAAACTGATTGAATCTTTGTGCAGCATAAAACGTACGACCATGTGGTACAAGGGTCTGAAAATCAAGACTATTACTTATGGGCTCTATAGCTCCTAAGTCGATTTGACAACTAATAGCCGTTATTTTTCCACTTAAAGACATTTTCAAGCTCCATTTATCTAAGGGGAGTTCTAAATTAGTATTATCTTTCAAATGCCATTGGAATTTAACCTATTCATTGTTGGGCCTGCAAAATGGACATAGAACCTTAAATGTCCGTCATTGTTTATATTATGTGAAAATAAATGAAAAATAAGTTCGCTCTGTATAGAGCGACTACTACTACTACACCACTAAACTGTACCCCAACAATCGTAGAAAACAGTGGTACGTACAAGCCCGTCAGAGTTCTGAAACTGATATGCCTAGGCCACTTGTCTAAGGATAATAAGAATAATTTTGTTTACCCAGGTTGCCTGGTCAGCATCACTGCTCCTGATGGCCCTGCGATTATTATTACCCCAGGGGGTGTTTCACAAAGATCCTTAGTTTAACTTATCTCTAAGTTGGACTTAAACATTTTGGAAAGCCGTTAGCATCTATGAAAATAATGTGTAAAAGTTATTTTAAAGGCATAAAATGTTGATTCAAATCATTCATCTTTTCGATTATTAAGGAGATTTCATATTCTGGATGTGGAATTTATAAAAAGTCTAAACTACTTGAATTTCTGCTTTTGAATATATTTCATTTTAAGGCTCCAATATGGCTGTCCATAATTTGTAAGTCCAACTTAGTGTTAAGTTTTACTTAGGATCTTTGTGAAACGCCCCCAGGTCCCCAGCAATCGCCAGGTAGGCCTACCCATTAGGTGGGGAGTGGCAAATGTGAATTAATGTCTTGCCAAAAGAATTTAGTACCAGCTGGCTGATATTCGAACCCTCAGCCTTTAGATTGAGAGCCATCATAGGGGAGGTTTCGTGGTAATATATTACCACGACACCTCCCCTAAATGGTCCCCATGGTGATAATGATTCTTAGTTACTTCGGTCGATATAGTTACTTCGAACATCCATCAATGGATGAAAAAATGGCATTATACTGAAAAGAGTTTGATCTAGCCTCTATAGACCCACCACCCCCCCCCCTTCCGTCGAAGTGAACCCCCCCCCCCCCAAGGTCGGGCGATGTTACACTATCTACCCATGCACCAAGGTAATGCAAGAAGTACTATAACTGCACACATAAGTGAATGTGGCAAAAATATGCAGGGCTTGCTAGACACCCTTAGAAATTGGAAATAATTCCCTTAAATTATGTTACGAGTTATAGGCCGAAGAGTTTGCATCACGATTACACGAAAGGACAATATTTCTTTACCGCGTCATTTAGATGGGTTCAGACTCCCTACAAGGTAAAGGTCTCTTACCGCATTGTCCTTCTTTTTATCTCCTGATACAAGCACAGAATAAATGCTGATTGATTTATTTTACAGGACAATCAATACCACCAAGAATTAGAAGAGAACTTGGGTCCTTCCTTTCACCACGAAGAATCCCATGAAGTACGTGATGAGGAACAATATGAGAATCCAGCATTCCAACCAGAAGACGACCTTCAAGAACCAGAGAAATTTCATCACGAAGATCCGCCACCAGGCAACCGCATGTCTCATCATATCCAACGGCAACACTCTGACGCACTCCCTGCCCAACCTGCCTACGAATTCGACGCCGCGGCTGCACGCGAGGCTTCAAAATCCCAGTGGTCCGCCGAACGTCCAGGGGCTCCATCGGTAAACGAACGGAGGCCACTGGACACCATGCCAGCGGTTCCTGCCCGAGAGATGACCGCTGCGCGCTGCGACCGCAAAAGCGGCGGTGACTACCGCTCTCGAAAGGCTTCGCTACCACCAGTTCCCGGCTACAACGGCGGTGACGACATCGCCGCTCAGAAGAAGAAAGCGGCTGCCGAAGGTGCTGACCGGAGGAGCTGGAAATCGAGGGCGCGGGGAAATGGCATGGTGGATTACGTGGTTTCGAAGACGGGGTCGAAAGCGAATCGGACTGTCGTGATTCTTATCGCTTCAGGTCTGCTCGCCATTTTCATCACCATCCTGTTCATGATCATCTATTTCTCAACAGGTATGCATTTTATATTATTCGTTAGTCCATATAATCATATGGGAGTATGAGGCGGGGAGGTTAGGTGATGTGCAACCACTGACACCCCCCCCCCCCCCCTCCACGAAATTTGTTTAAATTTCCAAATTCAGATAGAAAAAATATAAGAAAATAGTCTGAGCGGATGACTTTAATGAACGAAGTAACATCTTTTTAACCCAACATTTTCACAAATGCATATGACCTTGTTTTGGTTTTTTGTGATTTTGTTTTGTTCAATGTTTTGTTTTTATTAGTTTTCGAATGTCTTTTGTTGATAGGCATAATTTGTTTTAAAGGCACACTGTCCTACTTGTAGCTACTTGCTCCCTCTATATAGAAAACTTCCCCAATCGGTGCCTGTTGGTCCCCCATGATCCTCTTTTTCTTATGTTAAATGAGAGCTGAGTTAATGAGATAGCCACCTGTCACAGTGACCTCGCTCGCTCGCTGCATGGGCGGTCTAATCCCTTCTGGCTGAAGTAGTAAAGCCTGCCTTTAACTTCGGTTCTTTAGATTGCTTACCCATCCACATTATGGCTTCAAAATGAATGTTTGAATGGTGCAAAATGAATGAGTTTCATTGATATTGATACTTTTCAAACTATCTCTTCTTCTCGTTTCCCTTTTAATACCATAGGAAATAAGGCATTGCCGACAGGTGAGTTTATATCAGTTGTCCTTTAACACCTATTTAACCCGATGGCTACTGAATTATTAATTCCCATAGGCTTAACACTGGGACAACCAGGTTCCAGTAAGCAATGGTTTAATGTGTATTTATCATACGATAAAGAGCGATTTCGTGCAAAATTATGTGCCGTATTATTTTTATCAATTTTGTTTTCATCAAATTAAGCAAGACATCAATCTACAGTATTCCACCTTAAATGCTGTACCGGTGAGAAGGAATTCCATTAATACTTTTGTATCACTTTTATGATCCAAGGGTCATCTCAATATATTTGTTCCATCTTTGGATGATGCAATGAGGATGAAAGACATAGGCCCGAAATCACAAAGGAGGTTTGTCGACAAACCTAGGTTTATGTGCGTCATAGACCCATTGCGATGCGTTTCAGACCAAGGTTTAGACAAACCTTCACTGTTAAAAATTTCACTGTAGAAATTACAGTAAATTACTGGCAACTTTGTTGCACAGTAAATTACTGTAACTTTGACATTACAGTAACTTCCTGTAAGTTTTTCAACAGTAACTTGCTGTAAGACATTAAAATACTGTAAGCTTACTGTAAAGAAATTTTCATGTATAAGGTTACAGTATTTATTGTAAGTTCTTCTTACAGTTAATTAATGTAATTTTATTCACAGTAATTTAAATGTATTTACAGTTATGTACTGTAAGTTTTTCTCTACAGTAAATTAATGTTATTTCTCTCATTTACATTAAGTTAATGTAATAAGTACAGCTTTTCTACTGTGACTTTAGCAGTATCATCCTGTTAATTTTGTATCTATTTCTCTCATTTACATTAAGTTAATGTTATAAGTACAGCTTTTCTACTGTGACTTTAGCAGTATCATCCTGTTAATTTTGTATCTATTTCTCTCATTTACATTAAGTTAATGTAATAAGTACAGTATTCTACTGTGACATTAGCAATATCATCCTGTTATTTTGTTATCTATTTCTCTCATTTACATTAAGTTAATGTATTAAGTACAGTATTCTACTGTGACATTAGCAGTATCATCCTGTTATTTTTTTTAATCTATTTCTCTCATTTACATTAAGTTAATGTAATAAGTACAGTATTCTAACTTGACATTAGCAGCATCATCCTGTTAATTTGAGGAAAAAACAAGCTTTCTGAACACAAAAATCATTATTAAAGTCTTTATTGGGTAATCAACGCTCCATAAAACAAGTTTCTCAAATAGTGTAACATTATGAAAATGCTTGCAAAGAAACTATCAAGTAAAACATTAAAACAAGTAAAACCACTAAAAACTGCAAAAGTTCAAGTACTCAAGAATCTACAGACCCATAGTCATCCTTCCAGTATCTCAAAAATTCTTGAAAAAATTGTTTAGATTATACCAATTCTGAAATACACATAACTTGCTTAATCCCAACCAATATGGCTTTAAAAAAAAATCATTCACCCGACCTAGCATTAATTTAATTATACGACAGAATAACACATGCAATTGTGCAGACATAGCGGCTTTAAGGCATTGATATGCTAAATCACAACGTATGGCTTAGGGGCACTGCACTTTCTTGGGTCAAAAATTATTTGTCGAACAGACAACAATATGTTCACTTTAAAATTCTGAATTGTAAAAAAACTATTGTAAAGAATTATCTTCAATTGTAAACAAGACATATTTTATACACTTTTATCTTCCTTTAAAGCCACTATTAAACGACAACTACTATCAGAATACAATCAATGAAAAGTCTCCATATACCTGGCAGAATCAAGGAAAACTCTCTATACCTGGTAGAATCTCTCCAAAAGACATTACTCACTTTATTTTTGTTTAATTTATCTTTTGAACTAATACCCCATTTAATTTGAGTTGCTCTGTTATATTAAACTTGTAATCTTTAATACGTGTTTCATATTCTTCTGTATTTTTGTCTCATTTACATGCCAATTCTGCACAGAAACTTGTTTCAACTTCATGAGCTGTCATTCAATTGATTGATTGATTGATTTATTGACGGTAAAAGCCCTATTCAGCTACTCGGCTGGTTTACAAAGGGGCTGTGCAAAATAACAAAAACCGTAAAACATACTTGACAATAAGAAAATATACATGATATACAGAAATTAATGAAATAGAATTACCAATGTGCACAATGAACAAAGAAAATAGAAAATATGATCAATTTGTGTACATGTAAAATGAAAACATAAAATTATGAAATTCGTTTAGCTACAATATTGCTACGTATTAAATATGATAAAAAAACATATTACCATATAACGTAACATATATCGTAATAAAATATAAGTTACTTAAAAAAAATATATTATTATATAACTTGAAATATGTCGAAATAAAATATAGGTTACTTAAATATAGGCCTAATATTTGGCAAATTCATTTATTTCATGACTTATTAAATTTATTAAATATAAGGTGTATTGCATGTACAGACTAAAATATATGAAAATTCACTAAGGTAAAATAATGCTAAATTGCAAGTAATGTAAAACATATTTTGGAAAACAGTAAGTAAACAATCAAGCAATGCTTATGATGACAAGGCTGCACACATGCCAGGCTCACAGAATACATGTGCTAATGCTTTGTCTAGGAAGTTCAATGACCACTAGACACAATTTATTAAAAAAGTTTGGGCTCCCTGTAGTTGGTCTCTTTGCATCAAGGCTAAACACACGGCTTCCTTAATACCACGAAGTCACGTGACTTTTTTAACCTCCCTCACTAACAAAATATTTGATTTCAAATTTCAATTTTCACTTGTGATGTTTCATATTAAGTTCAATTGAAATGCATATTAAAGGTACATGATCCCTTTTGCAAGCATAACATTTGCAAATGTCTAAAAAGGGCAAAAAGACACAAATAAAATTTTAAGAAAGTGTGTGAAAGTAAAGGGTTCAGATACTCAATGTAAGTGGGATTTTTTTTATTGATTCAGTTAACACAGTACCAGTTTCACTTGAAGTTGAGTCTAACTGAATCTGGTCTAACTTATTGTGAACTCTTGATATATGTGACGCAAAAGACGACCTCACTGAAAAACGTTTTTTGCAATTGGCAAAAGGACAGCGTATTTCAACTCCGTGTTTGATATGAACTCTAAGATGAGAAAGTATGTCATGGATTTCCTCACATTTTACAGCACAGAGTGGACAATTCCAGGTAGAAACGCAGAAAAACTGGGCATCTTTTTTTCTTGAAAATGGTTGATGATCCCTATGCACATGGGTTTTGAAGGATGAATAATTTCTGAATGTTCGATTGCAGCCAGGAACACCACACGGGAAATCGAAATTCACCACATTTCTATGGACTGAAAAGTGTTCAGAAAACCGCTTCAATGATCCAGAAGAATGATTACATAGCTTACAAACGTACATGGGTATATGATGTCCATGTAGAGCATCCGTCTGATTAGTGTTTCAGCATGCACACTGTGTGACTTCAGCAGTAATCCATGGCATACTGCAAGAAAGAAGAGCGGAAAACAATACCTTTAATATGCATACGTACACATAACTTTTTATGTACAGCATTGACAGATTAAAAGTTATTTAAATGATAAATGAATAATAAAAAAAAAGATAAAGGACAAAAAATACAAAAGAAAATCGAAAGAAAAACATAAATTCATCAAATATAACCAGTTGTCACGAGCCTCCTGATGATGACTGTATGCGAAACCTTCAGCAAAAAAACATTTGATTTCACGGCTATGAATGTTACTACATAAGTGAAATTAACATTCATTTGCGGTAAATGAAACTACAATAGATTTCTGTAAAACAAATTTACAATCCTTAAAGACAAAAATTACTGTAATTTACTGTTAGTATTTGAAGAACCTACGGTAACAGCAATTTACTCTAAGAATGCAGTGATTTACTGTAGGAAAGTTTACAGGCAGATACTTTGAGTAAAAATTGATGGTAACTTACTGTAGATATAACCTACAGTTACTGTAAATTAAAATTACAGTGAATTACAGTAGACAAGTACTCAAAATTAATATGAAATAAAATTACTGTAAGTTACTGTAAACTAGCAGTTAGTTACTGTAAATTACAGTAATTTTACAGTAATTACTCAGTAATTTTACAGTAACTTACTGCCAGTTACGGAATGGCCTATTTGGTTGCTATGACAACGCTGCGACCTTCAAAAAAGTAAATTACAGTAATTTTACAGTAAATTACAGTAATTTTAAAGTAACTTACTGTAAATTACTAAGTAACAGTAAAATACTAAGTAATTTTACAGTAACTTACTGTAATTTTATTTCATATTTTAACTTTTAAGTAAAATTACACTATGCAGCAGGATTGCCAGTACTTTGCTGTAATTTCTTCAGTAACGTGCTGTAGACTACACTACATGAGCTTAGACTTGTGCGTATTCAACTGATCACGCAGTGTGCTCATGATGGACTGATGCTGTAGTCGATCGTAGTGTGTGCGGTGTCCTATAAGTTATAAGTCTTGATGGTCTTGACGTTAGACATTTCCAATTTAACGTGAGCATGCATATCCATGTGCAATGGCATCGCATTGACAGTGACACTGTACGCTGGTACTGCAGTACAGTGTCATGTGCTGCACTAACACTACCGACTCTGTCCCACACACCACAGCACAGCACGTACAGTATTATACCGTAGACGGAACAATTACAAACACAATCCCTATACTTTCCACAGTCTGACAATTCTTCACTTCAGCGGGATACAAATCAAATCATGACTCTGATAATTGGCAATCTGTAACTTACCTCGGATCCCCTTGGAATTGACTTATTGGTCATCAATATCCCAGCTCGAGGATCAGGACCAGGAACAGAACAGATTCAGATTCGTTGCTCAGGATCAGGCCGGCCAGCTCAGCTATATCTCAGCTCAAATCTTTGCAGAAAATTAAAAATGGCGGCGCGGCGTGGCGGGCTAGCGCGGGAGCCAATCACGTGCAACGCATACGCGCATATGCAGCCGATCCGCCTAATGCGCATGTGCGCTGTATCCCACAATGCTTTTTGCACGCTCCTTTACACTAGCTTACTGTAGATATTTGTTCCCATGCTCTACGACACTGATGTTTACAGCAATATACTGTACAGCAACGTACTTATACAGTTAATTATCGTAAAATCGTTATTACAACATATTACTGTTGTAAATCACAGTATTTTACTGCATGAGTTACAGCAAATTTTTACAGTGTTGGGTTTGAAACGCGTCAAAACGCGTCATTATGACGCACATAAACCTAGGTTTGTCGACAAACCTCCTTTGTGAATTAGGGTCATAGAGTAGTAGCGGTGTTGTACAGGTGTCGTGGTCAAGTGGATACGTCTTCAGACTGTGGATCACATGATTCACAGTTCGATCCCGCCGTGACACTAATGTCCTTTGGCAAGACATTAATCTACAGTAATTTATACCAACTAGGTGCAATGTTTTCCCGGCGGTATAGAATTTTTTTTTTTTTTAATCATGGATTATTATGGATATAGGCCTATCCAATATTATCATTATGGTCTAGCTGTATAAAGTCGTTTGTACGATATAGTTGAGCATTGTCTCACAAAGATTTGGTAGTTTAATATTATATTGAAATATGAATTTTTCCTTTGTCTACACTAGATTAATTTGAGCAAAGTCCGTCTTTAAATGTGAATAGCGTGCTAAGTCTTTGTTATTTTTTTCTTCGATTATCTAGTGACAATTCAACCAACTGATGCACGACCAACCGATACAGGAGGATCCATAGTCATTGGTATGTATTTATAAGCTGCTACTGGCAGAATGTTTTTTTCTACTTCATATTTTAGACAACAGAAAAAGAATAAATGAAGTAAAACAGGACAATTTCTGAACTGTTGTGGGAATTTAGACAAAATCCATCTCTGTGTGTCAATCCAGTGCCTATCTAAAGTTCACATTCACACGTCTGTACTTCATTTTTTCGTTGATATTTGTTTTAATTATTCCTTTAAAGTGTAATAGTCTAGGCCTATTAATTCGTTAGGAGCAAGCGCAAGATTTTTTGTCCCACAGGTTACTTTCCGACCACATCTAGATCTAATTATTTACACTGTGATGTATCTTGCGAGCTCCTTTACATGTAGGGTGCATGTATGATTGAACATTTTGTTGAAGTAAAAATTTTGGATTATTTTGTTTTGTTTTGGAAAGAGCAAATAGGAGCTCGCAAGATAAATTAGAGAGTTGCCAGTTTATGTTTGATTGTGAACGCAACTTGAAAAAATCCTAATCTCATTATTTTCAATCGGAATTTGCTCAAACTTTCACTGACCTGTTCATCTCATTTTCTGCTTCTATTAAAACCAAATTAATATCAGGGTGGACCTCACCTTTAATTACAAAATATATCTCTTTGATTTATTCCTATATTTCTTTTCCTTTTTGTTTTCAGTTGGAGTAAACTTAGATGCCACCGTTCGTCTGTCGAACCGGGCTTTCATCCCTCAGTATAATAACGATTTGTCACCTCAGTACAAATCACTGGCTGACAATTTTACCAACTCGGTAATAAAACAAGATTTAAGACATTTTTGGTAAATACGTAATGTTCTGTCCATGTCACTAATGCTGCATTTTTAGGTACGACGCCTTACAATCCCAGGGCCGCCCCGTCTTATAAAGAGTTGCGATTGATCCTAGTCAATCGCAAGTTTGCAGTCTTTTATTTCCTCTGAGTATAGTTGAGATTGATATCAATCGCAACTACTTACAAGACGAGGCCCAGGACTGTGAAAAGGACAGCAGATCTGATATTGATACACAATTTGTGTGGGGTGTGATTGTGCGTGCGGGTGTAAGTGCTTGCGAGTGTGTTTCCAATTTTTCTGAAAAAATGAATAAGCCTACCTAACATGTAGCAGTGTTACGCAGTATTTATTTGGAGTTTATGACCAACGATCATTATGTTGTAGTTGTCTTTCTTTCTATCTATTTTACTACATTATTTTCATTTCAATTACCTACCGGACAAACTCTCATTCCCTACCCCCCCCCCCCCTTTGTTTTTTCTTTCTTCAAGATGGACGACGTTTTCTATGGAAGCGATCTCGGTGACGTATATAACGGCACACACGTCAATGGATTTAGGTTTGTGTAAAATAAAAAGCATTTTAGACTGTTACGTGACATGTCGAGATATTTACAAAAAGATATACAAAAAAGTTCGACATATCGAGCAATATAACCCCCCCCCCCCCCCCCCAGCTTGTCGATGAAAGTTTTACTTATACCTCATAAACTATGAAATAAACAATCTCGACTACTGATTAATAATGATAATAATAATAATAATATTCCTTTCTTGTATATAGCGCATATCACTTCATTATATAATTGCCCTATGCGCTTCCAAAGAGCTTTGGAAATTATTACCCCCGGCTATAGCTCTGGCAGCCTAATTATGTAAGATACACATGCATATATCAGATGCACCCTACGCTGTTAACACGATTTAAACTTCGTTATTTTTTTACACAATGTCTTCTCTAGCTCTGGCAGCGTCATCGTGGACTTCGTGATCCGACTTCTCTCTCCACCCATGACCGCCCCGGGAGACATGACCACGCCAGCAGGGTCCATCGAAGACCGACTCAAGAAGGTCGAGGAGGACGTCCAAGCTGCGGTCCAAGCCGTAATTGAAGACGCCGCCGATGATGGTGGCCTGGACGAACTCGGTGTCGATGCGACATCATTCGTTGTCACCGATGGTATATATTTTGTTTCATGTCAGAGTTTCGACATCTGGAAACCCCACCCCCTTCTGCCCCCCCCCCCATCTCTCTCTCTTTACTGTATACAATTTTACACGTGTATATAATTATATATTCCTTCTCTTTCTCCCCTTTTCTTTCTTCTCAATGCATTTAATCTGTTTCTCCCTCTCACGCGCACGCGCATAATATCCACATTTTTTTTGTGATGACCTTTTTAGCTTGATCTCTTTCTCTCTATCTATCTATATTTCTATCCAGGGGCGTCGCCAAAGGGGGTGTGGGGGTGCGACACTCCCCCCCCCCCCCCCCCCCCCCACCTGTCAGGATATTGTCGGTAAAATTGCGCTGCCGTCGGGAAAAAGAGAAAAGGGGATGGGAAAAAAGAGAGGGAAAAAAAGAGAGGGACAAAAAGAGAGGGACAAAAAGAGAGGGAAAAAAAAAGGGAGGGAAAAAAGAGAGGGAAAGGGAAAGAAAAGAAAAAAAGAAAAGGAAAAGAAAAGAAAGAAAGAAAAAGAAAGGAAAGAAAGGAAAAGAAAGGAAAGAAAAGAGAAGAAAGAATAGAAAAAAAAGAAAAAGAGGGAGAGAGGAAAGAAAGGAAAAGAAAGAAAAGGAAAAAAGAAGAAAAAAGAGTGAAAGGGAAACAAAACAAACGGGGGATGAAAGAGAGGAGAGAGAGAGGGGGAGGTAAGAGTCTGAGGGAGGAGGAGTGGGAGTAAAAGAGAGAAGGGGGTTGTTGGGTGGAGTCGTCTCGTCGAGGGAGCAAGAAAGACACGGGTAAATATGTTGCTGCGTCGGGTCAGCTGTGTCGGTATTCTTGCTCGATCCTCGTGTACTATATCAATGCAGAAGTTTGAAGTCGGTGAGATGTATATTGTCAGTCGGCCGACAAGTTTTTTTTCCCTACGAACTATCAGAGGTTTAAAATTTTCGGGGAAACTAAATTCAAACAAGGTTTAAGAGTCAACAACGGTACGACGAATCGTCTTCCTTTATTTATACTGTGATGAAACGTCAAAAATTCCGCGCTTCGCGCGGAAGGGGAAACTTCATTTAGACGAGTCGAGAACGGTACAACAAATCGTTTTCTTTCTCTAATAATTTAAGGAAACGTCAAAGCTTCCGCGCTTCGCGCGAGAGTGGGAAAATGAATTCAGACAAATAAGGCTTATTAAAAGTCGAAAACGGTGCAACGAATCGTGTTCTTTCTCTAATAATTTGAGGAAACGTCAAAGCTTTCGCGCTTCGCGCGAGAGGGGGAAACTGAATTCAGATGAATAGGGCTTAATAAGATTCGAAAACGGTACGAGGAATCGTCTTCCTTTCTCTATATTGTGATGAAACGCCATAAAACTTCATTTAGACGAGTCGAGAACGGTACGACGAATCGTCTTCTTTCTCTAATAATTTAAGGAAACGTCAAAGGTTCTGCGCTTCGCGCGAGAGGGGGATACTGAATTCAGACAAAATTAATAGGGCTTATTTAGAGTAGAAAACGGTACAACGAATCGTGTTCTTTCTCTAATAATTTGAGGAAATGTCAAAGCTTTCGCGTTTCGCGCGATAGGGGGAAACTGAATTCAGATGAATAGGGCTAAATAAGATTCGAAAAACGGTACGAGGAATCGTCTTCCTTTCTCTGTTGTGATGAAACGCCAAAAATTCCGCGCTTTGCGCGGAAGGGGAAACTGAATTCAGACAAAATTAATAGGGCTTATTTAGAGTAGAAAACGGTACAACGAATCGTGTTCCTTCTCTAATAATTTGAGGAAACTGAATTCAGATGAATAGGGCTAAATAAGATTCGAAAAACGGTACGAGGAATCGTCTTCCTTTCTCTATTGTGATGAAACGCCAAAAATTCCGCGCTTTGCGCGGAAGGGGAAAACTTCATTTAGACGAGTCGAGAACGGTACAACGAATCGTCTTTTTTCTCTAATAATTTAAGGAAACGTCAAGCTTCCGCGCTTCGCGCGAGAGGGGGAAACTGAATTCAGACAAAATGAATAGGGCTAAATAAGATTCAAAAAACGGTACGAGGAATCGTCTTCCTTTCTCTATTGTGATGAAACGCCAAAAATTACGCGCTTTGCGCGGAAGGGGAACTGAATTCAGACAAAATTCATAGGGCTTATCTAGAGTAGAAAACGGTACAACGAATCGTGTTCTTTCTCTAATGATATGAGGAAACGTCAAAGCTTTCAAGCTTTGCGCGGGAGGGGGAGCTTCATTCAGATAAGGATTAAGAGTCGAAAACAGTACACCGAATCGTCTGCTTTTTCTCATAATATGAAACGTCAAAGCTTCCGCGCTTCGCGCGGGAGGGGGGAGAAACTGAATTCAGACAAGGATTACGAGTCGAGAACAGTACACCGAATCGTCTGCTTTTTCTTATAATTTATTGAAACGTCAAAGCTTCCGCCCTTTGCGCGGGAGGGGGGGGGAACTGAATTCAGAAAAGGATAAACAGTCGAGAACGGTACAGCAAATCGTCTCCTTTTTTATAATAATTTAATGAAACGTCAAAGCTTTCGGGCTTCGCACGGGAGGCCCATCACCCACACCCCCCTAATGAGTGCGCTTTTAAGTGATTCTCTTGCTCACTACCGCCCCTCCCTAAAATAAGATCCTAGCTACGCGCCTGCATTAGAATATATAGCTATGATGCTGACTAAATTGAAGAAATAATTTGTATATTTATGTCGTCGAGGAAAATGACCATTTTAATTTAGCCTTCGGCCCCAGGTTTATAGGGTTGAATTTGTAGATATTGGACATTTAATTTTGTCGGTAATTGGTGGCTAGTTGACATTGACCTCTACACCCCCCCCCCCCCCCCCCCCCCCCCCCACTGAAAAAGGTCTAGCGACGCCCCTGTTTCTATCCCTTCATCATTGTTCATTGGTATATTTGCCTCTTTTCGTACCTCAGAGTCTATTTGACAGATCATTTACGTTTAAATACATAGCATACATTTCTCTCTATACCGCACCCACCCATCTCACACGCTTTCTGTCTCTCTCTCTCTCTCTCTCTCTAATATATTATATACAATTTTTAATTCTCTCTCCAACAGCCTAACGTTTTTTTTTGCAATATTGATCTTTCCAACTTGTAGTGGGGGTGGATGTCCGCGTAATAACTGAAGCGCCGACCACAAGTTCTCCTCCCGAAACAACGCAGATACCGACAACACAGGGCCCCACAACAGAGATACCGACAACAGAGATACCGACAACACAGAGACCCACAACAGAGATACCGACAACACAGAGACCGACAACAGAGATACCGACAACACGGACTCCAGGTTTGTAAGATAGATCTGTTTTTAGAAAAAGATAGGAAATTTCTGTAATTGTATAGGGCCTATACGTCTTTTACTTAGACCTACTGGTAAAATAACTCACACACAAATATCACGTTGAACAGTAAGTAAAGAAGTCTGTATTTACGATAAACGAATATTTAATGAATATTGATAAGATTAATAAATCAGTATATTATGATAAATAAAAAAAAATGATTAAGATTGATTTATGTCAGCGTGGGAGAAAAGATCTATTCTTCATTTGAATATAAAGTAAATCATCGTCGATATGTTTTCTTCATTTTCACCACTTTTTTTTCCATTGTTAAAAAGCAAAATTTTCGGGACCTTGTATCGTTTATACAATTTAGCAATAACGGGTGAAACAATCGCTCAATACAAAGGGCTTATCAATTTGTGCTTCTCTTTGTCAATTGACGAACAAATCGGAATAGGCCCTCATTTATAAATTTTCTGTTATTATTTGCAATTATAATATATATATATTTTTTTGATTATTATTTCAATTACAGATACCACCCCTCCTTCCATTAATTGTCCGGAGAGCGAAGTTTTCTACTTAGCAAATGGTGAGTTTTCTGCGAATGTCACTTGGCCTCCTATCGACGCCACAGACGACTCAGGTCAGGTGACAGTTACGACGGATATGAGTGAAGGATTGTGGGATACCGGGGATTATACTGTGGTTGCCACGGCAACGGATCCCGCGGGAAACTCCGCCGACTGCTCGTTCAATATTACAATAAAAGGTATTGGTGATCCTCAGTATTATTCAAAATTCGTATTTCTTAATTTTTCCTTATATTTTCTTCTTTTCGATTTGTAAGTTTTATTATTCTTTCCTCTCCTGAAGAAAATGGCAAAGGAAGCTTTATATTTCATACAAAGTTACAAGTAAATTTTGACATAAGCAAATTTAAAAATGAATTTTCACATTTCATATTATCATAATAACAAAGTTTGAGAGGAAAAAGGAATACATTAATAAAGTCTATTTTCATAGATCTACAGAAAAACAAATTAAAGGCAAAAGGAAAAGAAGATAAGAAAGCGGGAAAAGATAATCACGATAAACGATTTTTTTTTTTTTTTTTTTTTTTTTTTTTTTTTATAAATATTTTTTTCAAGTCCCGTCCCATTGTTTTCATATAGAAAAGATAATTTCTATTGGGACATTCGGTCTACCCATTTTTGTCCTCTATAGAGGAAGCGTATAGACCCCCCTATTGCAATGTTTTGACCTTCTCTCAACACCATTTCTGTGGTAGGCATTATTTAATCAGTCGGAGAGGCAGGTTTCTATAACCCTAACCCTAACCTGAAACCTAACCCTAACCCTTATACCCTACATTATTGGTGTATGCAAATAGATGCAACCGTTTTATACCTTAGCTATATTACTTTGTAGCTATGTTATTTAGCCACACTCCTATAGCCCTAACCCTAACCCTATTATCCCTATAACTTTAACCCTATGACTCTTACCCTGCATGATACGATGTTGTATGCAAATTTAAAAGATGAAACTTATCTACCCTAGCTACGTGCGCCATATAAATGTAGCTATTATTATCATTATTGTCATTGTCATTATTATTATAAATACTATTATCATCTTTATTATTATTTTTATTATTATTATTATTATTATTATTATTATTATTATTATCATTATTATTACCCATTTCTAGCTCGTACGTGCCCGGCTGGTTGGTTGCGGAGGTCGAATAGTTGCTATCGTCTGGCTTGGTCCGATCCCGTACCGTACGCGCAGGCCCTGCAGCTCTGCAGCGAGCTTGGATCTTTCCCCTTCATACCAAACGTAAGGGCCGAGTTCGATTTCGTCGTTGAATTCCTGGGCGAAGCCGACCTCGGCATCCAGACCATCTGGCTAGGGTGTGATGATACTAACATGGATGGGAAGTTCCTTTGCCTGGATGGAAAACGCATTCTCTTGCACAACCGTGAGTTACATATCCACATTTACAAAGTTTGGGGATCCGGTCGTAATGAATGTGTTTATTACAAGATTTTGCAATCATATAATTTGTTGAAAATAACCACTGATTTGGGCAATTCCAATAGATAGAGAAGAGGAGCCTTTTGCAAATTGCGTCTAGCTTAGTAATCAAGATTTGTTTGTAGGTCATCATGAAGAACGGGGCTTATCAATATTGTCAAAAAAATGATCGGTTGCATCTCTAAAATGATAAAGCAATTTAAAAAAAAAAAATTGTGTTAATATCGTGATATATCATAAGGCTCATCCGAAATTAATGTCCTCGATATGACCGTGGAATAAAATGATCAGATGGCTTGCCTCAACATACTTTAATGTTAGTACGAGCATTAGCTTATGAAAGCAGAAGTAGGAGGGCCTATAGAATTATTAGCTTGTTTGTTTCTTTGTTTGCTTGTTTGCTTTGCTTTTTCTATTATACAAAACCTGTAATTCGGCTTGCGAGCCGCGATTGATTTGTATTTCAATGAACCATTACTACTACTACTATATTTACAGTAGGCTTGCGGGTGCACCATGTAAGAGAGAGAGAGAGAGAGAGAGAGAGGGGGGGGGGTTGAGGAGTCCTGAAAAGGACTCTGCCGACTCGGTAATCTTTCTTGGGGATGTGTAGTCCTGGTGCACCCGCAAGCCTACTGTATATCTACATCACCATGCAAGCCGACACTTACAAGCAACAGACTACTATATTGTTTGTTTATCTTTGTTTGTTTGTTTGATTTTTTTTTCCTAGCTTGGTGGGCACCTGGTCAACCAGACTCATACGAGACAGAGAACTGTTTAGTGTTGTTTCTTGGTGCTATGAATCTACACGACTATCCTTGCACCTGGACCAATCCTACCCTATGCGAGAGAGAGTAAGAAATACCTAATATTTTGTTTCAGCGGCTTAAAGCCCTACTGTCCTACGTGTAGCTATACTTGCTCCCTCTATATAGAAAATTTCCCCAATCGGTGCCTGTTGGTCCCCCGTGATCCTCTTTTTCTTATGTTAGTTGAGAGCTGAGTTAATGAGATAGCCACCTGTCAGTGACCTCGCTGTGTGGTCTAATCCCTTCTGGCCCAGTAGTATTGACGGTATTTAACTAAAGGGGTTCATGTGCTTGTCACCCCTCCCCCTCCAATTCATAAAAAAGACCGAATGTTGAGATAGAAACAACCAAAAGAGAAACGAGAGTGAAAGAAACGGAGAGGGAGAATATCACACTATCCCTTCATCATCTTCACTCACTGAGTTTGTTTTCTCGTGAATCCAAAAATGAATAAAATAATAACAACATTTATAATGCGCTCATATCCACCCCATGAGATGCTCAAGGCGCCTAACAAGGTAAATACATTTAACATAAGAAAGTGCATGAGAAAATACGGTGCCGCCCCCACAACCCACCTCCCCCCCCCCCCCCCCCCCCCCGATCTCTGATATGTCACATTCTTAAGAAATATAAATTGGGACAAATCAATTTTTCACGAACCTCAAATTTACAAAACTTGGTAAGGGTATGTATAATAAAGTTGTTAACTGCAAATACTTAATGATAATTTTGGAGTATCTTGTCTTCGTAAATATTTCCTTTACAACATCGTGGCACTTTTGAAACTCAGAATATTTTTCAAAAAGTTAGAATATTTTTTATAAATTAAAACAATATTGGATTTGAGCGTAGTAGGTCCATGCTTTGAGCTAGAGTATTCTGGATTAAAATGTAAAGGGGTTTGCATTGTAATCTATTTTTATTTCGTTTATCGATGTCGAAAATTAATAATTAATTAACTTACTTGATTATGTTTTTGTCCAACAGCGCAGAATAATCGCCTAAACGGCTTTGACGTCTAGCCACGCAGATCACTATCAACATAAAAGTACATTGTCTAAGGAAATCCCGACGTATGGACGGACGAAACCTTTGGCATTCGTCACCTACATATAAAAAGAAAACCAGGCCTAAAACATGTACAATATACTGTATATCATAAACTGCCTGCTGAAACAAAGACAATGTATTTTGTATTTATTGCAAACTGCATGCACATAGTAAACAACTATTTTGTTTTACATTATATAGGCATAATTAAAAAATGGAAAAATCATTTGAAAGAAACATGGAAACAATATAATAATAAAAAATATTTAATTTTTATATAGCGCTTCATAATTGTACAAGTATGTATTCTAAATGAGGCGTAATTTTAAAATGATATTTTCGTAATGTAATCAAATGCAAAGCATACGTCTTTTTTGACGTGACTAGTAATGAATTATTAAATTCAATTTCTAATCTAACGAATAATTGTACTTGAATAGTCAGAATGTATGTAATTCGCATTCTGACTATTGACATTTTTTTTTTTTTTTTTTCGTGAGAGGTGAATGAAACAATTTGTAACGAGCCCGGGTAATGGGCACTGAACAAAGATTTGTGCATACAATTTGATTACATTACAAAAATGGTCCATTGGATCATACTCCAGTAGCTAATGAAACGAAATGGGGCATTCTTATATGTATCCACTATGTGCACTATGCCACTCGCAAATGTATATATAATATGGAAATATATTCTGGGCTTTCAAACTCGTTTTTCGTCATCAGGTTTTAAATTTATATTATCAGTTTACCAAATCACCATTTCATTGAATTTATTTTGGATATGCAATACACAGCCCATTCTATTTAGAAATCTATTTATTTAAATGTATTAATGTGTATTTTTTAATTACTCATATTCGTCGGCTGTCCGCGATAAGGCTGTCACTTATGTTGATAATTCCATGGACTTACTACGTATATAGTTGGTCCATGATAATACCATAGCTTTTATGGATATGGGCCATGTTGCATAACAATTCATTGATGGTAACTTTGCCATTAATGGAAACTACCATGGTAACAGGGCTCAACAGCCAATCAAAATCAAGGCTTCTATGGTATACCATTGATGGCAAAGTTACCATCAATAAGTTTTGTGCAACTGGGCCCTGCATGGTCTTCTTGCGAGCAGTCGAGGAATTGCACCACACAGTTTTCATCGTAAATGTACTGGTGATAAGTATGCACTATAATAATGTAATTTTATGATTATTTTGAAAAATGTAATAAATGAATGAATGAATAAATTATCATAAAAACATTCTTGAAAAGAGTCACTCATTTATTTATCTTTTGAAATCTCAAAACTGGTTGAAAAAACACTAAAGCAACATCCGTGCTGCCATGTACGAAAATAAAGTTGTAGAAAACATCCCTGTATTCTCTTTAGTTTTTATGCAAATTTTAAGAAGAGGTCTTATAGGAATACCTGTGGGGGGGCAGGGGCACGTGCCCCAGGCGGCACTTGAAGGAGCGCAAAAGAGAAAGGGGAATAATCGCAACTATTTTTCGAAAAATCCTTTTTTTTTTTTTTTAAGGAGATATATATTCTCGTTGCTTTGGTGTATTTATCAGCCTCTATTGGAACATTGCGCCCCGACTATGGGAATATGTTCAAGAATGAAAGAAATCTTAACTTTCGGTTGGTTATTCCTCGACAATTTCATATTTTGGGGCCTCCTTTTCGAGAAAAATCCCTTAAAATTAGTAACCTTTTTTGCCAGAATGACCCTTAAAAAGTTGATTGGGGTTTCGAGGCTTGAGCGGCATACTTCCGTCCAAACCATATCTGAGTACCCCCCCCCCCCCCCGGAATGAGAGACAAGTGAGCTAGGATCATATACCTGTTTTAAAACTGTTTTAATACCTCCGTCCACGAATACCACTTAGCTTTCTCGATGAACTTTATACTCCTAATGCTCATACCGATTTGATGAAAAGAACTTTTACATAAAATATAGAGGAGCCGTGCTTGGCTTACAACATCTTAGTTTCCGGATCCCGGGTTCGATCTGTCTCAACCCCAACCGCTTTCAAACATAATTTAATGCCATTACAGACAAATTCTTGCCCGAGAATTTTCAAAAAAGGGTCTACTTGACTTTTCACCTGGAGATTTCTTTATAAAGGGTGATTTTTTTTCTTTCTCTCTCTCTTTGGTTTCCCGAGAAATTAAAAAAGGGGGTTAACAAATATTTTTAAGGTTTTTTTTTTCTTCTCTCTCTGTTTGGACTCCTGAGAAATTCAAAAAGGGGTTATAAAATATCTTGAATATCATAGATAGGGGGTACATTCAGCAGTGTTCCGGATTTAGGGGGAGGGGGTCTCCAAGGCAGGAAAAGTCTGCGAAAAGTCCGCGAAAGGGGGGTTCAGAAATGTTGGCAGTCCTGAGATAGGGGGTCCGTTCAAAGGGAGGTATGAAGCATACGCGAACCCTAAATAACACTGAGGGGGGGAACCGTGTACAAACGTGTTATTATTAATTTCACGTGTCTATGGTTGTTTTTGTTTATATTTTGTAATAACATTTTTTTTTTGTGGGACCCCACGACAAGGCGTGTCATATATCTTGTACGGGTGAATATGCATTAGCAATCCAGCTGCTTTGATCCTGTGTGATCTCTCTCTCTCTCTCTCTCTCTCTCTAAGTGCCATATCGTTTGACTTTGGCGATCATGCTGTTCCACAACCCTCGGCTCCTAGCCTTCTGTATTACTACCCCCCCCCCCCCCACCCACCCACTCCGAGAAAGGACGGACCCCATGCGTGTTACCAAAATGTTCGGTAAAGGGGTACTTTTCGTGCGACAAAGTCCGGCCTGAGAATTGTAAAAAAAAAAAGGGGGGGGGGTGCATTAACTTTTCACCCGGAGATTTCTTTAAAAAGGGGGTATTTTTTCTTTTTTTCTCTCAACTCTTTGGACTCCTGAGAAATTATTCCGAATTTAGGGGGTTACATTGAGCATTTTTCATGATTTGGGGGTCTCCAAGGCAGGAAAAGCCCGCAAAAAGCCCGCGAAGGGGGGGGGGGGGGTTCGGAAATGTTGGCAGTCCTCAGATAGGGGGTGCTTTCAAAAAGAGGGAACAAGGTTGGGGCGGGCTTAGTACCACTCCCAGTCCGGCTCCCAGTTCTTTCACTCCTCTCTCTTCCAACAATTTCTGCAGACTGTCGATTGATTGATTGATTGATTTTTATTCGACAAGCTTCCAATATACAACAATATACAATAATAACAGATCAAAAATAAGTCAGCTTGAACAGGATAACCCACGAAAGCTCGAGAGCTTATTTCCAGTGGGGTCCCTTACAGACATGTATACAATTAATAAATTAAAATAGTAATATTTACAGACAGATAAGAAAATTAAAAGAACTACTTATTAAAGATAATAATAACAACATTAAACTGATGATAGAAATGATATTAAGTACAAGAAGAAAAAGAAGAAGGAGAAGAAGAAAAGAGGAGAAGGAAGAAGAGGAAAATAATGATGAATTTGTAGAATTTCTATAACGTACGAAAACATAAGTATATACAACATGAAAAAGTATGAACCGACAGAAGAATAACAATTTCAATCATATAACATGTCATTCACTTCTCTTCTCTGACTGTCAAGTATTAGGTATTCCTTTAATTTCCTCTTAAAATGATCATAGTTTCCTATTTCTTTTACACCATTGGGAAGGGAATTCCAATGTTTTATGGCATTGTAATAAAACGAATTTCCAATACTACCTACTCTTTCTGGTAAGTTAAAGTTGAATCGTCTATTTCTTGTATTATAATCATGTACGTCAGTAACAAGATCGAAGTTGGATCGAATATAATGATTCGCCCTAGTATGATATATTTTATGCACGTGATGCAATGCGAGTTGTTTTGATCTTTGGTCGACTTCAAGAAAACCAGCTTTAGAAAGTTCGCTATAGCCAACATGAGTTCTTGGACCAGAACAGTTGATAAATCTCACCATTTTGTTCTGTATAATCTTCAACTTCTTTTGATCTGACTTGTTTATGTTACTGTACCATGCAGGGTTAGCATAGTCAAATAAACATTGAATAAGAGCAAAACAGAGTGTACGTCTTGCTTTTAAATCCATACAACTTTGATATCTGTACAAAAATTTCAGACGAGAATTTGCTTTTTTTACAACTGATTCTACTAAAGATGAAAATGAAATTGCGCTAGCCAACTCAATGCCTAAATACTTCACAGACTCTTTTCTCTTGATTGCTTGATTATTGTGTGTCACTTTGAATTCAAATGACTTTTTAGAACTACTTTTAGAACAAAATAAAATGCTTTCTGTTTTTCCCAAGTGTAAAGAAAGCTTATTATCAGTCATCCAATCGACACACGTAGACAGCTGTTCACTGAGCTTTTCCTCAATATATTTAGGATCAGGATTTGAATAGAGTAGTACGCTGTCATCTGCGTACAATAATAGTTTGAAGTCTTTTATACAAATACACATATCATTTATATAACTTGAAAATAGAATTGGGCCTAAAATACTTCCCTGAGGAACACCGCATGTTATAGGCATTAGTTTGGAACGAATATCATGAATGGCCACTACTTGGTGCCGATTAGATAAGTAGGATCTGAACCAATCTAAACTTGCCTTATCAAAACCCATTAGTTGTAACTTCTTCAATAAGACGCAATGATTAACTGTATCAAAAGCTTTTTGCAGATCAAGGAGCACCATACCAACAAAGCGTCCTTGGGAAGTTTCTCTCCTCAAATAATCAGTCAAATGAATTAGACATGTTTCAGTCGAATAATCATGTCGAAAACCAGATTGAAATTCATAAATTATATCATTTTCTTTGAAGTATCTTTCAATTTGAACACAGACCGATTTTTCTAGAATCTTTGATGCTACGCTTAAAACACTAATAGGTCTATAGTTGCTAACATCAGTTTTATCTTTCTTTTTATAAAGTGGAGTCACTTTTGCTATTTTCATATCTTCTGGAAAAGTACTCGTCAAGATAGATAGGTTCATTAAGTAACTTAGAGGCTTAAATAAAACCTTCGCACCATCTTTTAGAAATTTAGCTGGAATCAAGTCTAACCCAGTACTTTTTGATACATTCAACTTACGTAACTCTTTGAAAACAAATTGTTCAGTGATTGGTAATAACTCGAAGCTGTTTTCACGTACACGTACCTTTTCTTTCGTAAAAGTCACGAATACAATCATTGTCTGCGCTGAAAAAGTCTTTGGAAGTCTTTGTCCATTCAAAGTATCCTCCTTCTTCCCCTACTCCTTCTTCCCACAATTTTCCCTGTCAAAGCTAGATTCTCTAGGCCTTCTTTACGTGTAATATGTGACCCATGAACTTCAACTGCCTAATCAACATCTCACGTACCATTTCCCTTTGCACTCCAGCTCGTGTAAGAACTTCCTCATTACTAACTTTGTCAGTCCAGGGGATTTTCATCATTCTTCTTAGAAACCACTTTTCGTAACTTTCCAAACGCTTTTTAGTATCAGAGGCTAAAGTCCATGTTTCACTACCATACATACTGGGTAGATCTAACAATTCAATACTCTTATTCTGGTCCTCATACTCATTGTTCGATTTGTCAGAATTTTGCCTAAGTTTGAAAATGCAGATTTAGCGAGAGCTCTCGATCCTTCTCTTGATCTCTGTCCCACATCTGGCATCCTCGGTAATGATGCTGCCGAGGTAGTTAAATGAGGAGACTTGTTTAATAATCTGTTCTTTCAGTTCATTCCAAGTTACATTTTGGACTGCTCTTCTTGGATACCACCAGGCACTTTTTCTTGGTATAGTTAATCTCGATCTAGTCCCATTCTCTCACTTTCTTTTAAAACTACATTCGAGTCCCTGGAGATCTTTCTCTGATTCAGAAAATAAAACAGTGTCATCAGCATATCTAACCTACTTGTATCCCATTTTCATCTTCCAATTCTCTTAGAATGATTTCACTATATGATCAGGTATGGCGACATAACACAACCCTGTCTGACTCCCCGTCTGATATATACACTCTCCTTCTACCCTGATGCATGCAAACTGATTCCAATATATAGCCTTCTTAGATCTTTCCTATATAATATCAAGCTTTTTCAACTCTTCGAAAAGTTCTGAATGTTTTACTTTATCAAAAGCCTTTGAATAATCAATAAAACACATGTACACATCCTTTTGCATTTCGACTGCTCTCTCCGTAATATTTCTAACCACAAGTATTGCATTTCTTGTGCCCGCATCCTTTACAAAACCAAATTGTTCCCTTCCGACCATGGGAGTTATTCTACTTCTTGCTCTCAAAAGCAAAATTCTCAAAATAATCGTAGTGATATGGCAAATAAGGCAGATTGTCCTTTTTTTGCTCACAATCCACGGCTCCAGGTTTCTTTTGGAGAGTAATGAAAATGGACCTTCCCAATTCATCTGGAAATGTTCGATCCGTCGTCATATATTTTGTTGATAATTTCTGTTAATCTATCAACACCACATTCCTCTAATGCTTCAAACATTTCAGTGACCACACCATCTGGGGGGGGGGGGGGGCCAACCCCCCAAAAAGGTTAAAATGACGTGTGTGTTTTTTTCCTTTTTTTTCTCAAGGGGGGGGGGGGGGGGCTGGATCCGCCACTGGCGTCCACCTACTCATTTTGTCCTTCATTTCAAACAGGATTGACCCATCTTTTCCTTTGATACAGCCAGAACAACCAGACTTTTTACCTGAAATTTCATTTATTCTTTGGTAAACATTAATATTCTTATTAAATTGTTCGTTGTTCGTTGCCAGCTCTCTTTTGCCTAATTTGTTTGTCTAGGTCCCTATATTTCTTGCATTGTCTATTTTCAATTTTCTGTCTATCTTTCATCATTAAAAGAATCTCCTCTGTCATCCATTTGTTCCTTCTTTTTCTCTCTTTTTTCGGCACATACTCTTCCGCTGTTTCTACCAGAATATTCCTCATCGTCTCCCACGTGTTTTCTTCACCTTCATCTATGAGCAACTCAAACCTATTCTTTACTTGTACAGTAAATTCTTGACGTATGTCCTTTGTGATATATGTTTATAAGTATATCTTTATTTTCAAACGAACAGACAAATTTAAACGACTAAATACGTTAAAAGAAGAGGATAACATTTACTTTCAAAACATCGTTTATTTTCTCCTTTTCAGATAGTAAATGAGTTCCAATTTTCTCTCTCACTTTTATATATTATCAATTACACTCATGAGTCTAAACAATAGGATTTGACATAATTCAATCCCTTTCAAACTGATTTTCCAAATTTTGCAAAGCTAAACTAATTCCAGGCCACCCCCCCCCCCCCGTCCCTTTAAATTTCCATTGAATGACGAAATGAAAATGTGACAAAGAAAAGGACAAAAAATGGGGGAGAGAGACAGGACGGGATTCTTCAGTCGAGACGTCATACATTAAGAGCATATTCTGGTCTGATTCACTCCCCCCCCCCCCCCCCCCCCCCCCCCCTCACCCCCAGGCCCCCTTTTCCACTCTTTCCTTCCGTTCAGTTTCAGTCTCATTTTTGTTCACGATGCCATTTGTAGGAGACCGAAATATTTTAGTCCGCATTCTGACTAGGCCGCGATGTCTAAATAATACAGTGAATACGTACGGTAGAAATGGATGAATAGACGTTTACCCTAGTGTACATTCTGCATGTAATTACAATGAATTCGCTAGACTGTCATTGCGCAATCTGTGCATGAATTAGGCGTAGCTAGGATATGCCAAAGTACAGCCTGTCTGTATAGGCCTGAGTCTGTATTTGTATTGTACACCACTCGAATATCGTTGATGATGAGGCACGAAATCTGTGCACTATGCATAGGCCTATATGACATTGCACTTCGCTAGGTTTGGCTGTGTATCGGCCTAATATAATTCTACTCACTGCAGAAGAAAGGCAAGAATCGTGTGGAGTTACTTTTGGTAAGTTTTGTAAAGATTTTAGGTATCATTTTGGAGACAGTCTGTTGTGTTGTCTATTCAATTTTAACAGTTATTGAGTTAGAAAGTCTAATCTGCTGATCAGGGGTGTCAATTTTTTTTTAGTTTGGGGAACTTGCTTGCAATTGGACTCGGACTTGGTTGGAGGTAGATTTCTTTCTGTATCGTAGGCCTAGATTCTAGAGGCTAGACCCTATAGCCCTAGAGTCTAGACCTATGCAATTTTGTTGTGCTCAAACTTAAGGGGGGGGGGGGGGGGGGGGGTAGTGAGGACTAACAAATAAAATACTTTTTTTTTTCCACTTAACCCTTGAGCCAGAGAGATGGTGCAGGAGATTTTCATTTTACACGTTTAGCGGGAGGGTATTTTCATAAAGCTGGAGACTACATCGTGGAAGGGCGTGGTAATTGCGGGAGTCTCCTGCTACGAGGTGGTGGGATTTAAAGGTAAAGACCAGTATTGGTAACGCCCCAATTTCAAAAAATGAAATGGAAGCTCTCATTACCAATCATGTGAAAGAATATGTTTTGACTAGGGCCTACTAATACATGATGATAAAAAATTTGCCGGGAAACCGCCTACTAATTCATATATTTGGTAAATTTATTTCTCTCATGGTCGTGTGAGAGAGATAGGGTAGTCCCATATACATCTTTCTGTGTATAGTGCTTGTAACTTTACGAAGAATGGGCCAAATTTCTTATCATTTTGATGATTCCAGAACCTTGCAGATGCTAGATGCTAGATGATCAACCTTTTCTGATCGATTCCACAACGTTTCTTTCACAATGCAATCGCATGACCATTACTGGTCTTTACCTTTAAGGCGGGAGAATGAATGAGTTTGGTGGCGTGAGACTCCCTCCAATTTCCAAACACGGGAGGGTTGACACTTGACAGCGCTGCATGAGGCTGAGTTAATTGTTGTGTAGTCTACGTGTTTTGTGTTGTTTCTTTTGTCCTTGGGGTCTACATGTACTCCTTGTAAGTTGTAGGTCTAGGCTAGACCACTAGAATGAAAAGCTTCAGTCTCTGAATGTCTGATATCGATGGTTGTTCGTTCCTCTAAGATTACATCTGGCTCCTCCGACCACCTCGAAGTATGTCGTATGGGGTACTGTGTGGAAGGAATGGTTCGGGTCGGCCGGACCGAGATAAATAAGATATGCAACAAGTTTTTCTTCCCTCTTTACGTCTTCATATAGGGTAGAGCGCCCGGTATTCGGTCACTTACGGGGAAATCTGTAATATTTTGAATTCTTACCTTTTTTATTTGGCAATCTACCCATCAAAAGAAAAGAAATTTATTCCTCTAAGTAGGCTAACAGTATTTTATAGTCGTTTAAAATATAGAATGATGATAAGCAAAATACTTACGAAAGAAGACGGAGCATTTTTCTGCCCAGAATTCGGTCACGCGATTTGTGAGTGGTATCTCCGTTGCCAAGGAACGAAGCATATTTGCGTACTATTTTCACACAATTGCGCTATAAAGCACTGAATGTCAATGCGTTGACCGAATACTGGATGAGCGATACCGCATGGCAAGGGTATCGTATTAAAAGCCTCTTGCACATCGGCAAGTACGTCATTTACAAATTCGCTGCGATGGAGCGAACACGGAAGAGCTCCTCTTCACACACATAACCTACTAAATTCATTGCGACAGCACGCGTAGTTGTTTCGCAACAGACTTCTACATACAGTATATATGGCTATGCAAGTTAGCGCATATGCTAACAGAACGCGAAAGTGCAGAAAGTTGTGCAACACTGACCAATTTCGAGCTAAGTTGGAGATCTTTCCGGGGCCCTAAATACCAATTTTGAGAGTTAAGAAAAGTTGTTTTGTGCAAGTTTCGTGGCTCATAAATTATTTTTTAAATTGTTACAGCTGTTGAAATGGCTGTCTGACCGAATACTGGGTGCGCTACCCTATTCACTTTGGCTGCAATATTACACTGAATCTTATTAAAAATAAGAAATAAGCCAATCTTTCATGAATCTTCATAGACTTGTGTTTATAGACTTAGACAAATTAAATGTAGGACCTATAAATATTTATGATAGTTAACGATGATTTGATGCATAGTCTACATGTATATTTTGTTAAATCTGAAGGCAAAAGAGAAGGCTCTGTATATGGTAAGTGCTGATCTGAATGCCCAACCTTCCATCATATGGACTATATATTCATAGACTTGTGTTAGACTTAGACAAATTAAAGCATATATACACCCTGTAGGTCTAGGCCTATAAATATTTATGATGGTTAGCATTCATGATGATTTGATGCATAGTCTACATGTATATTTCGTTAAATCTGAAGGCAAAAGAGAAGCCTCTATGTACATGTATGGTAAGTGTTGATCTGACTGCCTAACCTTCCATCATATTGTATGGGTATTCTCTAAAAAAAACTGACATTTGTCAACTCAATTATGTTTAGAGGCGGCCAGTGGAGCCAGATGTAGTCTCAGCGGAACAACCCTCGATATCAGAGACTGAAGCTTTCGGTCTAACATTTTGTTCTATTTGAAGGCAAAAGATAAGGTTTGATAATTATAGGACACCAGACCCCCATCATAATTTTATTTAGAATTCACAATGTGACTTAATTGGTAACATTGTCTCAGATTCTGAAACAAAATCCTGGATTTAGCTCATGCTGCAATTCATGTCAGTCAGGAACCCCATGAATTTTATAAGCTGATTGCCTGTCTGATTATCAAGATATTTATGATTGGAAATCAAAATTTCAAAAATTGTTTTCCTAAAGATTTGTTTAACATTACAGTCTATTGGGGAAAATGAGTAGGGTTAAACCGATCACTCAAAGATTTTTATTTTTTTGAGGCACTTCTTGATCATTTTGAAGCGCAATTTATTTAGGGCTTCAATATTACACCATATCACAGACATTAGGCCATTCATCTCATATTTAACATTGTTAAACAATGCCTTTAAAGAAAAAGACCCGTTATGGTCATTCGATTGCATCGTGAAAGAAACGTGGAATCGAGCAGAAAAGGTTGATCATCTAGCATATGGTGTGTACTGCAAGGTTCTGGAATCATCAAAATGATCAGAAATTTGGCCCAGTCGTGGTAAAGTTACAAGAACTGTACACAGAGAGATGTATATGGGACTATGTGACACGTGCACGATATCTATCAGGTCCAAATAGATACATGTATACCGGTAATAATTTACCAAATATATATCAATTAGTAGGTGGTTTCTCGGCAAAATTTGTATCATCACAAAACTGGTCTTTACCTTAAAAAGAAGAACATGTCTGAAATGAAGGGTTAAACATTGCAGTTTTTAACCCATTTTTCCTCTATCTCTGACAGACAAGTCTGTGATTGACGATGGCGAGTAGAAGTCAAGGACGCTCACCTCGTCGTATCCCGGCAGGCAGTGGGCCGTATGGAGTCGGGTGCGGAGATATCATGGCTGGGCTCTCTACATCGGGGTAAGTCGGTGTTCGGAGTAGAAACTTGAAGCAATACAAAATTTCAGATTTAGCGCATGTCGCGATTGATAATAATTAATCACGCTACTTAAAAATTGACCATGTACATATCTTAATTAACCACATATGACAATACAGCACTGTAACAAGAGCAAAAGCACACGTGTATTCAGAACGGCCTTAAATTTTGGTAGGCCTGCTTGGACTGTAATTGTAAAATAAGTAGTGTAGTGGTTTAGAACGAATGTGTCTAATAACTCTAATAACTCTTTCTTCCTGTATGTAGGAACTGTAAGAGGCATTGATCTGCGTAACAGTCTGTGTTTTTTTTTTTAAGAATTAAACTTTTGTCAGTAAAATACAACTTTGGGGATTAAAGAATACAGTTTTTTAACTCCAGAGCTTGGCAGGTCTGCCTCAGGGATAGCAGTTTGTTAACTGAAGAGGCAACCCTGCTTATATAAAACTAAATAACTAAATAAAAATGTTATTCTCACAATAAAAATTTACTTTGATTTAATTTCATTCCAGGGTGTTCTTCCGCCTATTCTATCCGATGGAGAAGACTTCAGGTGGTCCCCCTAAGAAGGCGAGGCCCCCCTGGTTGCTAGGGAGCCAGTATGCTAAGGGTTACGGGGCGGTAGCAGGCAAGAAGCTGGCTGGGGTGACCCTCAAGTGGCTGCTATGTAAGTTCTTTGATATAAAAGGGGAATTCCCAGCTGTTATGCCATCTTACTACTTATAGCTACTTGCACCCTCTATATAGCAAACAATGCCTAATCGGTGCCTGTTGGTCCCCCATAATCCCCTTTTTCTCATGTTAATTGAGAGTCGATTTAAAGAGATAACCACCTGTCAGTGACCTTGCAGGGAGGTCTAATCTCCCTGGCCAAACTAGTGCAGATGGGCTTTAATGGAAGCAGAAAAAATCAAAGAGACAGTTCAGTGAAAGTAAATCTGGTATGCAATAAGGAAGTTCTAAAGTTCAAAGTATTAATCTGTCAAACACAAATTAAAAACTCTTTTCTTATTGTTCTGTCCTTATTAAATGTTCAAAACCAACTAAATATCAGGGTGGACTTCAATATCACAGATACTGATAACACGTTGGGCCATGCATCTCAAATTTGTGAAACTGGAGACATTGTTAAAATGCCTTTAAGAACTCAAGTAGGCATTATGTAAGTTATTACTTATAAAGCAAATTATAAAAGACAACAGATGTGTGAATTATGTTTTTCTTGTATTTATGAACTAGATTCATGTTTTGTTATTAGGCACATTTTGATTTCCACGGTGACGTAGTCAACGGCTCAAGATATTGTTCTTTTTTTAGCTACCTTAAAGGCGTCATTTAACAATGTTAAATCTGAGATGCATGGCCCTACGTTTTATCAGTGTCTTTGATATAGTGTAATATTGAAGCTCTAAAAAATTGCACTTCAAAATTATCGTGAAGTGCCTCCAAAAGTACAAATCTGTGAGTGACTGGTTTACCGTTCTCATTTGCTCCAATAGACTGTAGTGTTAGGAAAACCGTTAAGAAAACACAAAATTTGATTTGATTTTCATTCATAAATACCTTGATAATCAGACAGGCGATCGGCTTGTAAAAAACATGGGGTTCCTGACTAACCTAAAGGTTTATGATTATCATTGCAGCATGAGCTAAATCCAGGATTTTGTTTGAGAATCTGAGACAAAGTTACCCAATGCCTTTAAGATTCCCTTCTAGGATGAATATGTACATGTATGTGCAGCATAATGAATCTTGATATTTGTGTTGTTCATTGCAGCTAAAGTCACGCTACCGGTCTGGTGGCACGGTAAACTGAGCGAGTCTAAGACCAAGTACCCAGTGATCATCTTCAGCCATGGCCTGGGGGGCTGCAGGACCACCTACACCAGTATCTGCATGGACATTGCCTCCCATGGTTGTATCGTAGCAGCGGTAGAACACAGGTTAGTGTGCACTTGCAGTCGGGGTAACTTGGCGCTAGGGTGGCGACAGGGTTTCTCGAGTGGAAGTTTCTGCTGTATAAATGTCTGTATATTTGTGTTATGTTTATGTCGAATGTAAGAAAATTATTGGATCATTAAAAGTTTATCGAATATTTATTTTAAAAAACTAATGAAACTGTAAAAAATAATGTTTTCCTGTTTGCTCCTGTGTTTACATCACAGAGACCAATCTGCCTGTGCTTCCTTCATCATCAATAACAACAACAGCAACGGGACGGCTAACGAGTTAGACCAGCAGTGGATCACGTATCATAAAGCAGCATACGAGGAGCAGGAGTTACGAACAAGACAGGTATGATGACCAGATTTATATTTCATACATTGTATGTAACAACTACTGTAAATCTCTGTGTATAAGACGCACCCCTATTTTTTTGTGCTTTCGCTTTCGCTTTTACTTTTTTGCCTTTGAGTACGAGGCGCAGTTGAAGTGCTTGTGAGCTTGTAACAAATAATAATAACAATGTTGTTTTTAATACTAAAGATGACTGACAAATTTTCCTCCGAGTCAAACAGAAATTCAGACATAGGCTAGTTTGGTTCTAGTTTCCCAGTGGTGAGTCGATACCCCCATTTGTGAGTGAGCTGAGACCATACCATTGCTCTTCCGGGCACGGGTGATCATCGGCCGGGAGAGTGCTATCTGAAGGGGCATAATCAAATCGAGAAAAAAAATGACTCTCTTCCCTTTTAGTTCTGATAACAACTTCAATGAGATTCTCTCAACATTGAGCACAATTCTGGTGTTCTAATTTCTCTCTTACAGGTAAACCAGAGAAAGGATGAGTGTATAGCAGTACTAGACTACCTTCAGGATCTTGATGAAGGAGGTCACTTAGAAAACGATCTGGATCCCGATATGGATCTCACAGTCTTTCAGGTAAAGAGTTGGCTTCCCTGAAGCCTTATATGAATATATCGAGGGGTTGGTGACACAAAGACGTAACTCCATTTTGGCCATTTTGAGAAAAAGTGGTTTATGTGTCACTGAGCATTTGGGTCATCAGGAGTTAAGTCTATGTTTCACTAGCCATTGACTTCAATGGGGTGTTGGGTGGAATTAAGTCTTTGTGTTTCCTGGAAAGCCCACATTTTTCTGATATACTTTTCGATATACTCTAATCCATCTATCAATCCAGACTGATGACATTAAAAGTGAATTTAAACCAATTATGGAACACATATAAACTCAAATTCATTTGTATGTAAGTTGGTATAGCGGCATGTTCACTAAGTCAGCTCTCTTTTTTTTGCCTACAAACTGGCTCAGGCGACCCCAGTGCGAAACCATGTCACATCTTTTGGATATTGACGTCAAATCATGATTTAGGATTTAAGATTCAATAATTGTTTATAAAAACATATCTTTGCAGCTGGATGGCTGAATTGTCATAAATGTTTTACAGATAATAACAAAAAACATGATACCTCGTGGAGCAATGGACAACTGGATTTAGAAAAACTGCTTCAGACAAATCAGGAGAATGATGTGTTGGCATAACACTAAATATCAATTCACCAATATGTCATTCTGATTATGTTCTTTTATTCATTTTGTTTCTTCAGGGTCATCTAGACCTAAACGATGTAGCTTTGTGCGGACATTCGTTTGGTGGTGCTACAACTATTGCCTGTCTAAGCAGAGACGATCGATTCAAGTAAGAAAATATTAAGATTTCTATTTCTAAAAGCAAGTTAAAAACAGTCCCGGGCCCTGTCTTATTTGTGATTGATATCAATCCTAACTATTACTCTCAACCTATCAGAAACCATTTAGGATTCATTTTTCTCGTATTTTCCTGTTTTTTTTTTATTCCAGGCTACATTGCAAGTACTAGGACTCAATAGATTAAAGTAGGCAGTCCCAGATTACCTGCTGTGAAAAAATAACAATTGTGTTTTATGTCAATGTTTCCCCGCATTTGAGCATGCTGTTTGTAGGTTTGACAGCTGCACAAATATAATTACAGATTCTATCTATGTCCCAAAGCTTGGGAGGTTTTTGAGGTGACGATAACATGGACCTTGGGACACAGGTTCTCCATAACTTTCTGTCTTCAGCTGTTCTAGTTAGCTGCACAAATGACATGCCAGTCCATTGCTTGATGTTATCTGTCCATGTTCCCATAGGTCTGCCCTTCTTTCTCCTATCAGTTCTTCCTTGCAAGACTGTGTTTGCCAATCTATTCTTCCATACAGAATAATAATAATAATGATGATGATAATGCTCGGCTTTTATATAGCCCGAATTACAATTATGTCTCTAAGCACTACCAAACTTGGAGATTATTATCCCGGCTATAGCTGTACTGCCATTACGGCGCTCTAGCATTTCAAGGAATTAATTCCTGCCAGGTACCCATTAACATCACATGGGTCAAGAGTGGCAAATGTAGATCAATGTCTTGCCAAAGGACATTAGTGCCGCAGTTGGACTCGAACCGCGGACCTTGTGATCGACATTCCAGCGATGTAACCACTCGACCACGACACCTCTACATCTACGTTCACTAATCTACGTTCATGTCCTAGTTGCAGGCCCGATAAAAACCCGATTTAAATCGGTTTCCCAATTGTTTTAAATTTTTCCTGATTTTTTTTTTCATCCTGATTTTTTTTTCTCCCGATTTTCGTGATTTTTCCCTTATTTTCTCTTTTCTTCCCCACGTTTCCCGATTTTTTTCTCAACTTTTCTTACTCAAATGGGGGGATGGGGGGGGGGGGAATGTTGTTTGATGCCATTTTTTCCTCAAGAGGGGCATGGTTGAGGGAAAAACAAAAAACCTATTTTTTTTTTAGTGCACACTATCACCCCTGTAGTTGGTCTGCCCCTTTTCTCCTCCCATCAGTTCCTCCTTGCAAGACGGTTTTTGCCAAGCTATTGTTCTATACAGAATCTACCAGGAAAAAATAATGTTGTCACTAATCTACGTTCATCCTCTGCCTCAGGGAGAAAATACATGGGGGCTCGGGGCGAATTAGCCCTCAAAATGCCCTAAAGAGCCCCCGAAAGTAAAAAAAAGAGCCCCAAAAATTTGCATAGAGTTCAATGCAAAACAAATTAAAGAGTGTTATTTTCATGCAAGCAAGCTTGAAAAGTTGCCCCTGAAAGTTTTTTATTTATTTTTTCCCTGCTCTGCCTTCCTCTTTCTCCTAGATGTGGGGTTGCATTTGATGCGTGGATGTTCCCCCTGGACGAAAGTCACCTCGATGTCAAACAACCACTCTTCTTCATCAACACGGAGAAGTTCCAATGGAAAGCCAACATCACGCGCATGCTCTCGCTTGTGCCCGATATACACGCATCCTCTGGTCCACGCAGGATGGTTACCGTACGGTAAATGAACAAAAACAGAAACATTGAGATACACTCTCATCAAATGTGAACCAAGATTTAAATTTGCAGGATGATTCCGTATGGTAAATGAACAAAAACAGAAACATTGAGATTAGGCTTGAGTCGGTACGGTCGATCACACCGGGACCCGACCGTTGCCGTCGGGTCCCGGTTTCGTTTTTTGAGAACCGACGCTCCGAAAAAAATAACGAAATATGTAAGAAATTGCAGTTTTGTACACCACTAAAATCAATCCACCTTAAAACTTAAGTATTTAATTGTTACCAATCATATTCTAGCTCATCCTGAATCAATCCGAACTGCTGATATAAATATGAGTTTCAAGGCAGTTCGCCCATGGGGTTGTTGTTGCCAGCTGCTAGCTAGCTACTGTACTGGCCGGGTCTCTCGGCAGGATTAATAAATCAGGTTGAAAGAAACATTAATGTTTGAATAATAAAACGGCTTTCTAAAAAGTACCTCTTTTCAACATACCGATCGAATAATTTTTAAAAGACAAAATAGATATTTTTTCTTTGATTTTGAACTTCGCATGCTTCTTTTAAAAGCTGAAAATTACTTGGTAATCACAAGAAGTTTCGATACAGATAGCTGTTGCAAAGCAAGTTCAGACTAGTCTCGGAAAAATGCGCAGTGCTCCACGTTAGCTGTAATGCGTGCCAGAACGAACCCAAACAAAGATGTGATCGTAACGAGAAAAAAATCATTAAAAACTACGAGAGCACAATTGGAAAGACAACTACTCAAAATTATCGTAAGCAGATACATATAACTTGGAGGTAGAAAACAATAGTTATCAAAGAAAAGCCACATAAATAGTGATATTTAAGGAGTTACTATAGGTACAATCATTATTGGAAGGGCCTGCTTCAATATCCGAATTACATGTGTTAAAATTGAACACGAGGCTATACGAGGTAAATACCGCCCTCTACGGTAAAAAGCAGTATAACAAAGAATTCGAGTATTTGCAGCAGGCCCCTTGCGATAAAAATGTACCTAGTTACTCCTCGATTATCACAATTTCTGTGGCATTTCTTGGGCGATTATTGAATTCTTTGTCCAGGTTATCTATCTGATTATGGTAATTTTGAGCAGTAGTTGTCTTTCCAATTGTGCTCTCGTAGTTTTTAATGTTTTTTTTTCTTCTCAGTTACGATCACGTCTTTGTTTGGGTTCATTCTGGCACGCATTACAGCTAATTACGAGGAGCACTGCGCATTTTTCCGAGACTAGTCTGAACTTGCTTTGCAACAGCTATCCGTATCGAAACTCTTGATTACCAAATAATTTTCAGCTTTTAAAAAAAAGCATGCGATGTTTAAAATAAGAGATAAATATTTATTTTGTCTTTAAAATATTATATGATCGGTATATTGTACAGAAGAAATTTTTAGAAAGCTGTTTTATTATTCTAACATTCATATTTTTTGACCAGATTTATTCAACCTGCATAAATCAAAATGGCGGCTCGAATGTTGTCTTTCAATTTCTGCCCCAGTTTTTTTACTTTTAGAGGTACGAAAATGGCACTAAACATCGCCAATCATGGATAAAAATAATGTCAAATGGAAGAATATACCGATCTGAGCCGAGGTATGCATGTGTTGATTTATTTGATTGATAAAAAAGGTCACTTTTAAGGGACATACTGATTTTATGCGCTTTTTATAGAGGCAAGTGACAAATCCTGCGAGCTGATTTCGGGACACCGGGTCCCGATCGGTACAAAGCCGTCGGGACCCGGTTTATGAAAATCCCGACATGACTCAGGCCTAATTGAGATACTTTCTTATCAAATGTGAACAAACATTTAAATTTGCAGGATGATTACCGTACGGTAAATGAACGAACCAGAAACATTGAGATACTTCCATATCAAACTTGAACAAACATTTAAATTTGTAATTATGATTTGCATGATTCAAAATGAATTGTGTCTTTTTTTCAAAAATTGAGAATGTCACTCAAATATGGAGGTATTCACTCGTGCCTGATATACACGCCTCCTCGGGTCCACGCAGGATGGTTACCGTACGGTAAATGAACAAAACAGAAACATTCAGATACATTCTTATCAAATATGAACAAACATTCAAATTTAGATACGTTCCTATCGAATGTGAACAAACATTCAAATTTACATACGTTCTTATCGAATGTGAACAAACATTCAAATTTAGATACGTTCCTATCGAATGTGACCAAACATTCAAATTTAAATACATTCTTATCGAATGTGAACAAACATTCAAATTTAGATACGTTCCTATCGAATGTGAACAAACATTCAAATTTAGATACGTTCTCATCAAATGTGACCAAACATTTAAATTTGTGATTATGATTTGAATGATTCAAAATATATTGTCTTTTTTCTAAAATGAGGGAGGCATCAAATATGGAGGTATTCAGGTACTCTGCTGCCAGAAATCATATTTTGTTTCTATATATTATGAAGCAAGTAAGGGAGTAAAAAATTGTTATCTTTAAAATGTTATTTCCTCATGAAAATACATTGACATTTCAAGAAATTGACAAATTAATCGCAAAAATTTTGTTGCGGCACTCCGTTTTAAACAGCTGGATTGAACCACCTCCATGTACAACATTGTAAAGGTCAATATTTCCTCTATGTCGTTTATTTCAGTGGGACTGTCCACCAAAGCCAGTCTGATTTCAGCCTCATTGTGCCTCAATTCCTCGCCAAGCTGACCAGTGCTAGAGGACCCCTTGACCCTTACGTTGCCATGGCAACCAACAACTTTGCCGCCATCCGCTTCCTGTCCAATTACCTTGGTATGTACCTGTATGTAATGAAGGGGTGTACAATTAATTGACCACTGTACCACAGTCAAGTCGTCAAAGCACTCAATTACAACAAACTAGAACAAAAAGAGAGTAGTACTGACAAGAGATTACTGTGAAAGAAAATGCTTCAGGCTAAATCATTGGAAAAAACTTTAGTTAAAGCTCATCTGTACTAGTGTACAGGAGGGATAAGACCACCCTGCAAGATAACTGGACAAGTGGTTATCTCATCATCTCAGCTCTCAATTAATAAAAGAAAAAGAGGATCATGGGGGACCGATGGTCACCGATTAGGCATTGTTTGTTATATAGAGGGTGCAAATAGCTATAAGTAGTGCAGTGGGCCTTTGAGAGGCTTGGCCTTTCCTTTTATTTCCAAATCACAACTGAAGTATGCAATTCAAATAGAAATTATGGGGGATCAAAATATATCAAAATCATTGAATTTTCCCTCAGGTCTTTGATAAGGATGAAGTTTGTGAGCAATTTTTTTTGTGCAATCTCCTAGATCTTCAGTTTGGAGATGAGACTGATGGCCCAGTGTCTTCCAGCGATGATCTCATCATGATCGGTACCAACGTCTGTCTCCTCGACGTTGAAGAGAAGGAGCAGAGAAAGGAGAATGGTGAGAGACGAGGTAAGAGATCAAAAATAAATTTCAGAGGAACCATTTATCTCAGCACTATTAATTTAAAAGGATTATGAAGATTAGAGGACCTAAAAGAGATCCTTGTGGTACACCTGGCTGGAGAGTGGTGAATGGTGAGAGACGAGGTAAGAGATCAAAAATAAATTTCAGAGAAACCATTTATCTCAGCACTATTAATTTAAAAGGATTATAAAGATTAAAGGACCTAAAAGAGATCCTTGTGGTACATCGGGCATGAGAGCTTAATTTTTATTAATTGCAAGATGTATGGACATAACTATATGTGAAACTAAATTTAAAAATTGAGAAGAGCAGAGAAAGGAGAATGGTAAGAGATGAGGTTAGAGATGAAAAATAAATTTCAGAGAAACCATTTATCTCAGCAGTAAGTCAAAATGGTTTTAAAGATTAGAGGACCTAAAGGAGATCCTTGTGGTACACTTGACTGGAGAGCTTAATTTTGAATTGTTGCAAATTGTATGGACATAACTATGTTTGAAACTAAATCTACAAATGTATCCTCTGTGAATGCAGGTTCACTGAAGAGAAACTTCCAGATGCATGATCTGTAAATAGTACTTGTTAATGTCTGTGATGATGAGAGGACCATGAACAGATCCTTGTGGTACACCTGGCTGGAGAGCTTAATTTTGAATAGTTGCAACTAGTATGGACATAGTTATGTGCGTAAATTAATGTATAAATATATCGTCTGATTAGGGACCAAAAACAGATGGCACAGCAGATTAAAGAGCTGACCTTTGAATGGTTGCAACTTGTATGGACATAACTTGGTATGTAAGTCAAAATGATTATAAAGATTAGAGGACCTTAAGGAGATCCTTGTGGTACACCTGGCTGGAGAGCTAATTTTGAATAGTTGCAATTTGTATGGACACAACCATGTGTGAAACTTAATGTATAAATATATTGTCTGATTAGAGGACCAAAAATAGATCCTTGTGGCACAACAGTTTGAAGAGCTGAACTTTAAATATTTGTCACTTTTATGGACATAACTGTGTATGTACATGTATTTGTATCTTTTGTGAATGCAGGTTCACTGATAAGGAGAAGCTTACGGCTAAAGCGAAGGAAATCACGTAGTCCGAAGGAGAATGAGGAGAGAGAAAGTGAACGAAAGGAGAAGACAGAAGAACAGAGAGGGGATTAGGATGGAAATGAGTGAAAAGGTAGAAAGGAGATGAAAGATTATGTAAAAGTAAAATTTGAAGAGGAGAAACGAGAGATTGCATGTAAGTTAGCCTTCCGATGTTTATTCAGGCGCTGCTTTACTACAGATTCTTATTTTCATAATTTTTGTATCTATTTATAATAATTTGTTTAAATTTGATCATGATCATTGTTAAGACTAAATGTCATAATCACTGCGTTGTTATATGATATAGGAATGAATTTATCAAATGAAATTGGTTACGCTTCAAAATTGTAGTCATTACTATAAATCATGTCGATGTCAAATTTCAAATACATGTTAAAAAAATCGAAAGTGCTCTTTTCTAATGAACCAGTTGCTTGGCTACACAAAGGGAAAAGAAACCTTTTTTTTCTTTCTATTATACAGGGGGCTGGATATACCTCTAAAATTCTAGAGAGCTGAAATTCAATTATGCCGATCATAAGTGTAATTTATGTACATGTAGGTAGGCAATCAAAAATGAAATTTTGTGACAGATTATATATTTATAGATTTATTTATAGTAGCAGGGTAAGATAGAGACCTGGAGGTGTTTCACAAAGCCTCTTTTCAGTGACAAATGACAAAAATCAGTGACAAATCTGCTGGTAACCAATCAGAAGCAAGGATTTCAGTAGCTTATAACAAAAATTGTCATTTGTCACTGATGACAAGTTTTGTGAAACGCCCCCCTAGAGTGAGAGTTCAGAAGGTGAGATACATATACTCAAGGAAAGGTTAACCCCCTGCATTCGAGAACTGGAAGGTCCCAGTATAAAACATAGGGGAAAGTAGAGAATTTAGTAGTCAATTGGTTTACCAAAGGAAATAAATTACTAGAAAATGCCACAGGCCACATGGGGTCAATAGTGACCTATATTTAACCCTTTGTTTTGAACTGTATCAGGTACCAGGTAATTATGAGGTTCTTTGACCCTTCCATTACAGCCTTCGTCAAAGATTTGTATAATTATATACTTGGGTGATTTTGTGTTTTTTTGCATTCAGTAGACTAGAGTGATATGAAGTTCCTTTCCAAGTTAGAAGTATATTACTAATGCTTATAGTAATTGGAGATAGACATAGGGAATGTGATAATCATCTCATACTTATATTATATACTGATCACAGAGTGAGAGGTATTGCAAAAGGGAAATGGAGTGACAGAGGGAAGGAGGAGGGGGAGAAGAAGGGAAAAGGAGGATGAGAGGGAAAGGGGTGAACATAAAGAGAGAGGGGGGTCAGTTCTACTAGATCAGAAACTTAAGAGTAGGGTATGATTATAGTGACTTTTTAGAACTAATCAAGTCATTCCACTTCCCTCCAATTATATGCTTGCATTATTACAGTCTTAGCTTCAGATTTAAACACTTTTTATGCCATATTTTTATACACCCTACTAAATGAATAGAACCCCCTAGACAGTTAATTCTACGGTGCTTTTTTTAAAGATCATACAAAATACCAAGAAATTTCAAGCAGTGTGTTTTATTTTTTCACTATTTAAATATCTTTCTTCAAATTTTGATACATGAATGACGTAAAAAATATAGAACATTTTGTATATTGTTCTTTGAATCAGTGTAAGCATTTACATGTAGGCTTCAGATCGAAATGAGGCTAATTTGTAAACTGTACTCATTCAACCAGAATGGAAATGTTGTATTTTGAGAATTTGCTACCTGTTTGCACAGAAAATAGAATTGGATAGAACCAGTTAAGCCTTGATACAGAAAACTTTCATTGGTTGGGGTAATTATAACATGCATATTTAACTTCTACCAACCTTAACGTTTTAAGTGGGCAAGCTTTTGTCCACTCCTGTGGACTTTCTCAAGCCAAGTGATTATTTGCACAGCAACTACTGCCTTGAGATCACTGAAGGGAGAAAGGTGACTTGAGGCCTGTCCTCATCAGCTCGAGATTGCCAAATAACCCAATATTTCTGATTTGGGAAATAAGCCCAAAGTTACAAATCGCGTCTTCATCAGCTCGAGACTCGACCCCTAAACTCTAAACTCGAGCTCGAGATATTTTGCTCAGTGCTCGCGCATAGTGCGAGTCTTCGGGCTGGTGAAGACACACACCGGACAGAGAGCGGGATATTTTGCCAAATAGCAGTATATTTTGCAAACTAGCCTAAGATATCTTGGGATGATTATCTTGACCAAATATCCTGCTAATTGCAACTGCCGGCTGATGAAGACGCAATTTAGCTGGATAATTTGCGATCGGGATACCGGTAGTTAAAAATAGCGGGTTATTTGGCAATCTGGAGCTGATGAAGACAGGCCTAATGAATAACCAGAGTCCCTATTCAGTGAAGGATTAATCCTTTTTATCCAGATGGATTGTTTCACCTTGACCCAAAGTGTGTTTCAAATTTCATAACTTTACGAGCCAGAGTAAATTAACATTGAGTTCCTATAGGAAATCTATTTATTCAGATGGTCATATCTCAGCCAATACTTTACATATAATTATATGCAATTGGTTTTCAATATTTGGACATTAATTTTGATGCTCTTTCGGAAAATGAAGAAAAAATTGAGAAATACAAAAAATAGATTTTTATGATGTCACAGCTTTGGTACTCTTATAGTATGGGCACAATTAATCCTTGAATCCTAGTACTGAACACACTATTTTTTCATTGATGATTCAATCAAGGGAAGATGACAGATGATGGAGAGGGGGTGAATGGGGGTGGGTAGGGGGATTAGGGTGGGGGAGGGGGATTTGGGTAGGGGAGGTGCTCCAAGAAAACCTTGGGTGCTGATGTTGTGTAGCCTTGGTGTTGATCCCCCAAATGTCTACAGTTTAATTGCTTATCAAGTGAAATGTGGTGAAGGTTATGTAAGTCTTGTGTTAATGTGGTCTTGAAGGGTGTAGTGTTACTTTGATGTATATTGTGAATGTATTGTGTAATCTGAGGGACGTAGTCACCTCTCTATCAGTGCTTTCTATACACCACATGTCTGGCGTTAACGTGAGAGAAGTTTTGTTGGCTATCCTACTACTCTTTTGCAACATAAGATCACCACTGGGTGTAGAATTTTGATTTTGATTTTTGATTTTTTTTTTTCTTCAATCTTTCTTTTGTAGCTGGTAATTGATAATCAAATATTGATATTTATAATGCAGTTCATCTAAAAGATATTGGTACGTGGATAAATTGGATTGGTTATCCAATGCTAAGAATATTTTTTTTTCATTCTTCAAAACCTTGATATTAGCCTTTGACTGAAGAGTTTTATATTTTCACGAGGTAAACTTTGAAAATACAATTTTTTGATATTCTCACTAGGTAAACTTTAAGAATACAAATGTTTTAAAAAAACAGGATGCATTTGAGTCATTACTGGTCTTTATAAATATGTCAACTTTTTTCTTGTTGTTAAAATGAAAATTGACCTACATGTATTTATTCTAAAATAAATATAAAATAAAAAATTTCCACTTATAAAAAGGTTATAAAATGTTGATCTGCCACAAGGGCCTTTGGACCTCTAAATCCTGAAAAAGATATAATTTATTGATATTATATCAAAAGGAAAAATTATACAGATATTTAATTTTATACCTACATCTATTTTATTATTGAAGTTGAATGTAATTCAACATTATACAATTTTTGCAGATGATATCTTCACTGCACTTGTGTTAAATGTCAGTGGCACTTGTCATTTATTTGTAATGTTGAACATTCAGTGTAAGTTTTGTTGGATTCTGTGAGAATTTATTTTCTATCATTACCAGAAATCAAGCTTATAATTAACAGCTCGGTTCAAAGTTTGCCTATATTTGCCCACAGTACACTGTGGGTATGTTTCATGTGTTTAAGACGATCAAGTTATTTACGGCGTTAAGTATGGGTCTAGGAATCAAAACCCTTCTGGCTCTTAATGATATGTATGTGAAAAGCACTCTTGTTATGTAACTTAATAGACCAGAGGGGTGTTTCACAAAGACTAAGATCGACTTAAGTTGGACTTAAACTATGGTGGGCCATTCATGCCACTCGTGGTTGCTCTGACCAAGGGTCTCTCAATTATGATCTTTAGATAATATTTTTTGATTCAATATTATAATAACCTATCAAAAAATGTAAATTCTGTAGATTTGTGACCATGATTCAAACGTTCCTTGAGAAATCAATTCCAGGAATGGTTAGAGAAATTAGTGGCATGAACGGCCTGCCATAGCTCAAGTCCAACTTAAGTTGATCTTAGCCTTTGTGAAACAGCCCCCAGTTTACTGACATATTCAAATTTATGGATGTTTCTTTCCTGGGGACCTAGTGACGAGTTATTCCATTAACCTGTTATTAATGAATGAACTACAATACATGGAATCCAGTCTCCATACATTACTTATTACTTTGTCGGACAGGACTTGGGAAAGGTTGCAGACTTGCAGACAACCTTTCTTTTAACGGTATGCATGGAATTTGAATATGTTAGTAACCTGGTCTTTTGGTGAATTTACGTCTTTCATATTGATCTATGTTGTGCAGTACTCATTAAACCAGTATTGGAGCTTGCTGTAAATAGTGAAAGCAAAAACTCATTTGGCTGGGTTAGTCAGATGAAATCTGCATGTGGGACTAAAATAATTATTTATTGAATAACTTTGGAGCTGTAATCGAAGAAAAGTTCAATTTCTGTTATTTAGTTTGCCAACCAATGCAGTGAGCTTCCTTATCATTTGAAATGATTTGATGCGGTAATAATTTTAGTCTGCATAAACCCAGAATTGCAATCTCATGATCTTAACACAGTAGTGTGATAATGTCATGATATAAGTGGCAAATGTATTTCAATTTATGCAAGTTTCTCTCCAAAACGTTTGGTTACCAACTATTTGAGCCAACTGCTATGTAAAGAGGCATTTCTCTGAATGGAATTCATTATGCATATGTGTATTATTTGTTGATATGTCAGGCAATCCTCTGGAAGACAGAGCCCATATTCTTAAAAGCTTAAGAAGCTAGTTGTGAACTATTTACATATACTATAGTACATAGAAAGGAGTCCAGTAGAAATATATCTATTTAGTGTACCTACTAAGTAGGTCCTACCCTGAATATTTAAAAAAAATATATATAGTCTTTTAAATGAGGCAGTTTAAGTAGGAGGTTACAAACCTTAACTAGACTAGTCAGGGCCCTATTTCATAAACATGTTATTAATACCAACTGCCCCAATTCTATATATCAAAGTTAGTCACAGCCAATCTAATCCAGTATTTTCAGTAGCGTATGTCCACTGTTATAGTGTGTTGTGAGCTAGAAGGGCATTAATATGTGTTAATGATCTTTTGGTTTTCAACAAACGATATATAGTTCTATGAATCGGGGCACTGGTGTATTCCTAAGTGAAGATATTATATAAGGGAGGCATTCACTAGGCTTAGCATCCAGGGCTGTGTCTCACAAAACCATCATAAGTACAAGTTCAGCGACATCCCATTACAGGTAAAATATATGAATGAAGTTTAACACCCGTTTCAATGGGATGTTGCTGAACTTGTACTTATGACGATTTCGTGAGACGCAGCCCAGAGTCTTTATTTATGCAGAGATATGACATGTCTCTGAGTTATGCATAGAGGCTATACTCAGGGATGCATAGAGTGTTTGAAATAGATGCAATTATTAAAAACAAAACCAAAACGAACATAGAAAATGCAAATTAAATTATTATAATCTCAGGTATCAGAAGATTATGTTATTTATTACCTATATAGAGGATTCATTTTAGGCCTTTATTCTTCCATGTTCAAACATTAGGAAAACTTGCTTCTGTATTAATAATCATAATGATAATAATAATTGATGATATTAATAATAGTGGGTTCTTGGATGCACTCATTTCTGTCAAACTTTACACTTTTTGTGCCTCACATAAAACCCCAAGTTTTAGCATGGTATTCGGGCGCTCCAGCAATTAAAGGAATCAATTCCTGCCAGGTACCCTACCTTTAACTAGCCTGGGTCGAGTGTGGCAGATGTAGATTGATGTTTTGCCAAAAGACGCTAGTGCTGTGGGAGGGGTTTGAACCCCGCGGTTCCTCGTGTGGGCACTTATCCACTAGACCACATTACGGCTACTTCTTTCAGTTCGTGAGGTTTTACTTTGAACTGGATCTTGATAGTTTCGTTTTACTTTGAATCATGAAACCGACCCAAGTCGAGTCTGGACAAATATCTGGTTATTAATGTTTGAATTGAATTTGCCATCTTGAAACCCCAAACAAAACAACGAATGTGTCTTTTCACGACTGAGTCTCTTCCTTTTTCGGACCTTACTTGAGAAATGAATCTTGGAGGCTGTTCACACCGGTAGAGATAGCGCGCGCTAGACCGCGCTATCTCTACGGTTTGGAAGGTACAACGTCGTTTTGGTCCGCCCAACAGCGAGCCACGGCGAGCCAAAACGGCGTGCCACTGGAGCACCTCTTGGGGGTGGTCCACGAGAGATAGCGCGGTCTAGCGCGCGCTACGATAGACCGCGCTATCTCATTGCGGTGTGAACAGCCTCTTGGAGATTATGAAAAAAAATTAAAATATGTGTTTCTTTTTTTATAATTTTTGTAATGGAATCAACCGAGGGCAGTGACTACTGGTATGTGTCATTGAATTATGACGTTGATTCAGGAGAAATAAATTATGTGACTTAATTGATGATTAATCCGAATTTTCAGCAGATAATCAGATCATTTTTTTTTTACTTGATAGTTGCAGCTAGAGATGCACTTTATATACACACATGCTTCAGTTGAATATTTAATCTCGATCTCACCTGATTGCGTTATGTGGCACTTAATTTCGTACACGAGAGGATGCACTTTTACATGCACACGCATGCTTCGTTTGAAAAAGTAATCTCGAATCTCGCCTTGCAATTGATTGCTTTTATAGTTAGTCGTGCACGTGCATTTTACAGTGTGTTTTAGACTTGAACGTCATGTTGATACATGTTATCTGATATGTGATTTCACTATTACTCTGGTGACATTTGTTAGGGCTTTATTTCCTCTTGATATAGGGTTATTAAGGCGCGTTCAGAAATGACGCGATAAAACCGCGGCGGTATTTTTTATGATGACGTTAAGTGTAATACGCTCCACATTTGTTTAATGTTATAGCATTTGTTGCGCGCACTTGCCTTTCATTTTACGCGTTAAAATAAACCGCGGCGCCTTTTTTTTTGCGGCGTTTTACCGCGTTATCGCTTGTATCTGAACAAGCCTTTAGGGTGTCGGGTCAGATTGACTTTTAAGGTTAGATTTACGGTTAGGGTTTCAGTTTGGTATAGTGTGTGGTGCAGTATTAAAGTTTAAGGAGTTCGACTAGTGTAGAAAATTTACCTTTAAGCAAATGTCACCAGAGTAGTAATTTGTTTGACAATCTGTGCCGTACGTACAGTCATATGTTACTGTCCTGCCAATATATATCGGAATTCCTTGATAACGTGTGTAATCTGTTGTATCCAATTGTTGGTACGTACGCTCGTATTCACTTTCATGTTGTCGTAACATTTCTGTATTTCTTCCTAAAAAGAATGACTCTTCGAGATTTGCCAGAATTACTCATCGTGAAGAATTTAATTTGGTAACGTCTGAAGACGAGACTGTGTATGACCTCCATCTATTTTCTTGTAGACTGTTAAAAATACGTGTATTTTTGTGATCTTCGTTATTTCAAAAGAAATTTGAATAAAAAGAGACTTTGATCAGAGACTTTGATTGAGGTGATCAATATAATTATGCATATGTGAAGTTTTTTTTTTTTATTCTGCACGGAGTTATGTTTATTTGGTTGCATGAAAATTGAGTGTTAACATTTAAGTGACCTTTGATCTATGACCTTTAAAACTATGATTGCAACCCATGCACTACTCATACACAGACATGATCGCTTAGACTGCCAAGATATCAACTCAGGGGCTTTTGTATTCTCTGTTATTGGCTTTAGAAATCATGTTCGGATTTTGTAACTTGTACTTATTGTTTACACGTTTCAAAGGTTACTCACGGAGAAAGTTAGAAAAAGAGAGAGAAAGAGTGAAGGTGTAAGAGAGAGAGAGGGGCTGGGGGAGAGAGAGAGAGGGGGGGGGGTGTGAGAGAGAGGGGAGTGGTGTCAATATGAGAAACGGTGAAAGCATTTGAAGGTTGGAGATTCAGAAAAAGGGTTCATCAATGACACAAATAATTAACGTTACAAAACGAGAGGAATAAACAAATCTATATAAAAAACTTTTTATATCCTCATTAACGGTCATATTTATTATTTATTAATTTAAAGAATACTTAAAAATGTCAGTCGCGGGCCTAACCGTTATTCTTCAATAAAAATATTTCTGTCACAAAACTACAAGAAATCGTAAACATCGCCTTTCTTCATCAAACGTAATTCATGTTTCATATATAGCTCAGCATTTTTTAAAAGCTTTTTTGTCTTTATTCAGATTTCATGATTATACAAAATGATAAATAGGAACATAATTGTTCTTACAGTATAAACACAGTACATTGTCTCATACATTATAAACACACACATATTTTCCATAAGTATAAACACTAATATAGTACAATCAAGACATAGTGTACATTCAATCAAGACATAGTGTACACATAGTGATACCATTCTGCAATTTGGGAGGGGGGGGGGAAGGTAATACTTCATAGTAATATTTTCGGATACAACATTATAAAAAGGAACAATTTTCACAGCATAAACATAACTTCTATGCAAATTGGTTAGTCCAATAATTAAACATGACCATCATTGATATGTCGCCATCTGTTGTCGGATGTATCATAGTAATATGACTTCTATTTTGTGTGTAAATTGTCTTGTTCCCTTGGCATGCAAGTCGTCCCGGAATTTCACACACGAAAACTGTTTCAATTAAATTACTCGAAAGTTTATTTTCCCCAAAAGGGAATAGCAACAAGATTTAATTTCATTTGATATTTTTTATGTTTTAAAGAATTTACTTGAAGGCGCATAGTAGTGGGCTCTCATTGGGAATTTGATACCATTCGGGTGTAATATCCAGTAAAAGGTGTCAATCACTGCTATATAGCCTTCAGTTGTATGTAATTCTCTGCATTTCCCACCAATCGCCCAATATGGAAAATTATTATCTTACATTCACCTTACCCAAAGACTCTTCAAGAAAGGGGTATTTTTTTGATGGGACTACGGGTAATTTGGTGGGTGCGATACTGTCACCCATTAATGGTGTTTCCACCAAGTCTGGTGTTAGCGATTTATGACCTACCGCACATGTAAAATGACTACCAAAGCCCTGTGAGAGTCTCGTCAAGCCCAAAATAATACACAATAAAATTAATTTTACTTTGTCAAAGCATGTCAAAGTATGGTGGCCATGTAGTAAGCGCTGTCACTGACTTGTGTCGGTCGGTGAAACTTTCCCGCGCTATTTCTTATCAGCGCGCCTTTTCCACCAAGGTGATGGGTTCATGTTAACATTGTGCCCGATCATGATGAGCGGGTTTGACATCGCGTTGAATTTCATCATTCCAGCTCCTTTTTCCAGGCCTGAAGGATAAAATTGAAACAAATATATATTAAAGGATATTTTTATATCATTTGACCATCATGGGGTTGACGCCTTTTGAGCGAATATCAACTTTCCAGTTTTAAAACTTTACGAGAGAGTAAGCAGAATAATTGACACTTTATTATCTAGTTATCATCCGTTTACGAATTAATTATAACAAGACCACCTCAATGCCCGTTCATATCGGAGCAGGTAAAGCCCCCGATCCCGGCTTAACTCATATTAGCCTTTTAGGAAACATTCAAGAATGTTGACATGATTGTTTTACACTTAAACTTGATATGTATCTTGAGTGTTTCTATAAAGCTGTGCCGAGTATTTGTGTATCTTTCTTATTGTCGTTTTTCTTCTTCGTCATATCCACTTATCTGTCGATCTTCACATTATTTTTTTCTTATACAGTATTCTATTTATCTACCTCCCCCCCCCCCTACCCCCCCCCCTCTCTCTCTCTCTCTCTCTCTCTCTCTCTCTCTCTCTCTCTTCTCTCTCTTTCTCTCTCTCTCCCTCTCTTTCTGTCTCTGTTCTCGAGTTAGTCGAAAAATATAATTATACGCTCCATGGAAAACATAATTATTAATGAGCGGAATACTTAAGGTTAGTATGGCCTAACTGCCCATGCCCTCGACCACTTCCCTTTATCGCCAACCATGTTCTTCACCAGTAATCAGCATCGGATTTGTCAATAAACTTACTGATATATTGCGAGAGAAAGTTGATCATCGCATCATTGTTGGTTTCTATGGCAACCCTAGGATGTAGTTTGTCTCGCATATTGAGGAGTTTGGCAAGGAAATAAGGAAAGACGAACCCCATATCAGTCTGACATTGATGATCAGTTCCTCTGTAATAGATAAAGGAAGGTGAAGGGTGGTTAATTCGTGAGGAAAATGTTTAACGACAGTTGGACGGTATATTTAATTATTGTCTGAGGGTTAAAAACCTAGGTGCCATCATCATCAGAATTACAACCATCATCACCAACGCCACCACCAACGCTACTACCATCGTTATCGCTAATACCACCAATATGATGACCATCATCCTTATCTCCATCAACTCCATCATCATCGCCAACAACAGCATCATAATCACCATTATTACTGTTATCATCTTGATCATAAATAAGCACCGCCATCGTCAGATTTACCGTACCTAATCATTACCATCATCATCATCATCATCATCATTATTGCCATCTTCAAACCCACCATTATTATTACTATCACCACCACCATCATCAACACCAACACCAATAACGCTACATCCACCATCATCATCCTCATCATTACCATCATCATCTTCACAATCAACAGCTTTACTGAGCAGCATCATCGTCAATTCGATCACCAGCACCACCACACCACAATCATCATCATCAAGCTCACCATATTCGTTCATCATTAATACCACTACGTACCGCTACGTACTACATTGCTCTATCACCACCACCATCACCACCACCACCAAAACCATCATCATCATCATCGCCATCCATACCTTATCGTGATCATCTGCCTGGACCCCGATGTCGCCTCCGTATCCGGCATCAAGCACAAGAGGTGTTCCATGTTGTCTTTGAACTGAAACTTCTCCGTGTTGATGATGAGCATGGGCTGATCGACGCACCGAAAACTCTCATCAAGCGAAAGAGTGTAGCCCCACGGGTCACACGCTACCCCACATCTAGAAAATGTTTACAAATTCAAATTCAAATTCAAACCCAAATTCAAAGCAAAATTCAAATCGAAATTTAAAATTCAAAAGAGAGAGAAAGAGAAAGAATGTAGCCCCACGGGTCACATGCAATGCTACCCCACATCCAAAAAATATTCACAAATTCAAATTCAAATTCAAACCCAAATTCAAATCGAAATTCAAATTCAAACCCAAATTCAAATCAAAATTCTAAATTTAAATATTCAGATTCAAATCAAAATTCAAAATTTCAAAGTTAATATTCAAGACCCAAAAAAATTGAATTTGGATAGGTCTATGTCTCTAATGGTCTATAATATCTGAAAGCTCAAAATAGCTCCTGTTAAATACTTTTTCAAACTGTTATTTTTTAAGTAAGTTAAAAACCGTTAATATTGTATGCTTCTTGTAAGAGCTAAGTTTTGAAGTAGGCGTAATGTCGAACAGACAAATATCAATCGTTTACTCTGCGCACTATTTAAGCGGGACTGTCAACTTAACTGTAGCTACTTACGCCATCCAGGGGCGTCGCCAAAGGGGGGGTGTGGGGGGGTGCGACACCCCCCCCCCCCCCCACCTGTCAATATTTTGTCGGTAAAATTGCGCTGCCGTCGGGAAAAAGAGAAAAGGGGGGGAGAGGGAAAAAAGAGAGGGAAAAAAAAGGGAGGGAAAAAAAGAGAGGGAAAAAAAAGAGAGGGAAAAAAGAGAGGGAAAGGGAAAGAAAAGAAAAAAGAAAAGGAAAAGAAAAGAAAAAAAAGAAAAGGAAAAGAAAAGAAAGAAAGGAAAAGAAAGGAAAGAAAGGAAAAGAAAGGAAAGAAAAGAGAAGAAAGAAAGAGAAAAAAGAAAAAGAGGGAGGAGAGGAAAGAAAGGAAAAGAAAGAAAAGAAAGAAAAGGAAAAAGAAGAAAAAAGAGTGAAAGGGAAACAAAAAATACGGGGGATGAAAGAGAGGAGAGAGAGGGGAGATAAGAGTCTGAGAGAGGAGGAGTGGGAGTAAAAGAGAGAAGGGGTTGTTGGGTGGAGTCGTCTCGTCGAGGGAGCAAGCAAGACACGGGTAAATATGTTGCTGTGTCGTGTCAGCTGTGTCGGTATTCTTGCTCGATCCTCGTGTACTATATCAATGCAGAAGTTTAAAGTCGGTGAGATGTATATTGTTGGTCGGCCGACAAGTTTTTTTTCCCTACGAACTGTGATTTCTTATCCGTTGTGACCATTTCGAGAGAGACTACATCTACAATACTTGTATTTTCTCGAAGTTTCACTTTCCTATAAGTTCAGCTAAAGAAATCAGAGGTTTAACATTTTCGGGGAAACTCAATTCAAACAAGGTTTAAGAATCAAAAACGGTACGACGAATCCTCTTCCTTTCTTTATACTGTGATGGAAGGCCAAAAATTCCGCGCTTCGCGCGGAAGGTGAAACTTCATTTAGACGAGTCGAGAACGGTACAACGAAATCGTCTTCTATCTCTAATAATTTAAGGAAACGTCAAAGCTTCCGCGCTTCGCGCGAAAGTGGGAAACTGAATTCAGACAAATAGGGCTTATTAAAAGTCGAAAACGGTACAACGAATCGTGTTCTTTCTCTAATAATTTGAGGAAACGTCAAGGCTTTCGAGCTTCGCGCGAGAGGGGGAAACTGAATTCAGATGAAAAGGGCTTAATAAGATTCGAAAACGGTACGAGGAATCGTCTTCCTTTCTATATATTGTGATGAAACGCCAAAAATTCCGCGCTTCGCGCGGAAGGGGAAAAACTTCATTTAGACGACTCGAGAACGGAACGACGAATCGTGTTCTTTCTCTTGTAAATTGAGGAAACGTCAAAGCTTTCGCGCGAAAGGGGGAAACTGAATTCAGATGAATAGGGCTTAATAAGATTAGAAAACGGTACGAGGAATCGTCTTTCTATCTCTATATTGTGATGAAACGCCAAAAATTCCGCGCTTCGCGCGGAAGGGGAAAACTTCATTTAGACGAGTCGAGAACGGTACAACGAATCGCCTTCTTTCTCTAATAATTTAAGGAAACGTCAAAGCGAGAGGGAGAAACTGAATTCAGACAAAATTAATAGGGCTTATTTAGAGTCGAAAACGGTACAACGTATCGTGTTTTTTCTCTAATAATTTGAGGAAACGTCAAAGTTTTCGCGCTTTGCGCGAGAGGGGGAAACTGAATTGAGATGAATAGGGCTTAATAAGAGTCGAAAACAGTACGATGAATCGTCTTCCTTTCTCTATATTGTGATGAAACGCAAAAAATTCCGCGCTTAGCGCGGAAGGGGAAAACTTCATTTAGACAAGTCGAGAACGGTACAACGAATCGTCTTCTTTCTCTAATAATTTAAGGAAACGTCAAAGCTTCCGCACTTCGCGCGAGAGGGGGAAACTGAATTCAGACAAAATTAATAGGGCTTATTCAGAGTCGAAAACGGTACAACGAATCGTGTTCTTTCTCTAATAATTTAAGGAAACGTCAAAGCTTCCGCACTTCGCGCGAGAGGGGGAAACTGAATTCAGATGAATAGGCCTTATTAAGAGTGGAAAACGGTATGACGAATCGTCTTCTTTCTCTAATAATTTAATGAAACGTTTAAACTTCCGCGCTTCGCGCGGGAGGGGGAAGCTTCATTCAGATAAGGATTAAGAGTCGAGAACAGTACACCGAATCGTCTGCTTTTTCTCATAATTTAATGAAAGGTCAAAGCTTCCGCGCTTTGCACGGGAGGGGGGGGGGACTGAATTCAGAAAAGGATAAACAGTCGAGAACGGTAGAGCAAATCGTCTTCTTTTTTTTATAATAATTCAATGAAACGCCAAAGCTTTCGCGCGGGAGGGGGGGGGACTTCATTGAGCCAAGGATTATCAGTCGAAAACGGTATTATATTAATCGTCTTCTTTTCCTAATAATTTAAGGAAACGTCTAAGCTTCCGCGCTTCGCGCGGGAGGCCCATCACCCACAACCCCTTAATGAGCGCGCTTTTAAGTGATTCTCTTGCTCACTACCGCCCCTCCCTAAAATAAGATCCAGCTCCGCGCCTGCATTAAAATGTCTAGCTATGATGCTGACTAAATTGAAGAAATAATTTGTATATTTATGTCGTCGAGGAAAATGACCATTTTGCGCATATGCAAGTACAAGAGATAGTCCATAGGAAAAACAATTAAGCCTTCGGCCCCAGGTTTATAGGGTTGAATTTTTCGATATTGGACATTTAATTTTGTCGGTAATTGGTGGCTAGTTTTGTCGGCAATCGTAAGCCTCTACACCCCCCCCCCCCCACTGAAAAAGGTCTAGCGACGCCCCTGACGCCATCTATATAGCAAACAATGCCTAAGCGGTACCCGTTGGTCCCCCCATGATCCTCATTTTCTTATGTTAATTGAGAGTCGATTTGATGAGATAACCACCTGTCAGTGACCTTACAGGGAGGTCTAATCCATCCTGTGTAAACTAGTGCAGGAACATTTATAACTTCTAAAACTTACTTGAATCTTTTTTCTTTGCTGAGGGTAGCTATTGCAGTAGCTCCTCCGTATGAATGGCCACACATTGCTGCAGATGACAAATCTAACCGCCCCTTAATATCCGAATGAGATCAAATGCATAATATAGTAGACATTATACAAAGATATTGGTGTAGTTTATAAGGGGAGGGGATACGTACCCCCCCCCTTCCCCTTCCTCGAATGAAGGGGTAGTGAGCACTAATTTTTTAATTTTTTTTTTTTTTTTTTTGGGGGGGGGGCCTTGAAAATTTGAAAAATCGCACCTCCCCCCTTGAGCGCCAGGGAAGGGGGCCCATCTCCCAAAAAGGTAAAATTAACGTGTTTTTTTTACAGGGGAGGGGGTCGGGGCCCCTCTTTTCCCCCGGATCCGCCACTGGTAGTAGTAGTAGTAGTACATTTTTCTATTAGTAGTAACAATGAAAATGATATTATTTTCGGGTCAGTATATTTCTTGAAAAAAAGTTTTAAAGTGGAAAGAAATCAAACAGTAATCGTAGCACATGAATCAATCTGGTCTAGAATTACCTTGAATTCTGAGAGATCAAAGTCCTTATCGATGTCGCTTTCATAGTTGAGGCCATCATCGAGGACTTCGAGAAAGTTGAGGCTAGCGATACACTCGTCACGTCTTTGTGTGATCTGGGGCCGCGGGGAGGAATTTACAAATAAAAAAGAAGGAAGTAAAATCATTGTGTTCTATATAGTTTGGTTTTGCTTTTTTTCATCATCCTGATCTCTCTCTCTCTCTCTCTCTCTCTCTCTCTCTCTCTCTCTCTCTCTCTGAATTCTCCCTCCCTTAGCTAGAGAGAGAGAGAGGTGGCCATCTTTTTCTCTTTTCCTCCCACCCTCCCTCTCTTTCTTTCAGCTTTATTTTCCAATACCCCTTCATAAACAAAATGGCAATTTACTCTACTTTTATCTTTGAGGGAGTGGTTTTAGAGAGGGAACCACACCTAATAAGTTATCCAACGTATACCAATTACCTGTCTCAGACGTAGTTCGGGGTCTTCATACGGTGCCTTGATGAAGTCCACGGCCTGGTAGTTTGGCTGTAATAACTGCTGGTCGCCGTTGGTCGCCATCGGTTTATCGTCGCTAGTATTCTTTATGAAAAAGGAGTGGCATCCAGAGTTGTCTCTGTTGATTTAAAAGAAAGAAGAAAACATTCAGAGCCAGTGGCTTAATTAGGTGGTAGGGGCGAGGGAAAGCTTTCCCAACATTTAATGGCCCAAAAGAAGAAAAAATTAAGAAAGAATTTTGTTTAAAAGGGTGGGGTGGAGTCATGTGTGTGCGTGTGTGTATGTACGTGTGAGGGGAGAAGAGAGAAAAGGGGAGAGAGGAGAAGAGAGAAAAGGGGGGGGGGGGGAGAGAGATCAGACAGCTAGACAGACAGACATCCAGAAAGAGAGACAGACAAATAAAAAGACAGAGAGGAGGGGGCCAGGGCAACGTAAAAAATGAGTGGTTTAAATTGCCCTAGCTTCGATTGCATTCATATAATCTCTTTGCATTTCATTCAAAACATTTCGTGGCAAGACCGCAGCACTACTCCACTGTACAGAGCAACAAATAGAATACAAGTATGACCTCACATTTTATTAAGGATCCCAGTTATAAAACTAAGCAATCTCTTGGTAATGAACCTGATTCGTACCTGTGTTCTACCGCTGCCACCACGCATCCACACGACGCAATGTCCATACAGATACTGGTGTAGGTGGTCCTGCAGCCCCCCATGCCATGGCTGAAGATGATCACTGGATACTTGGCCTTTGACTCGCTCAGTTTACCGTGCCACCAGACAGGTAATTTGATGTTTTCTGTAGGAATGGAGGAGGGAAAGGGGGCATTGAACAAACAAGCTAAACTTTAACACTCTCTCCACTTAATAAAAACGTTTTGTTTTGTTTTTCATTACAGCAAAGCAAAACAAAAGATACAAAAACAACACAACACAACACAACAGGCCGAAGCACAACTAAATTACAAGTAAACACACAAACCAAACATCAACCATATGATAATGGTTTTTTTTTTAATACTCTTATTTCCATCTCGTTCTGTAATTGAATTCCCCGTGGGCACTTATCAATTCGTATTAAAATCTTTTCCTGTTCTACGTACAGAGAGCGATGAAGACAACAATGTATACTTTCTTGCTTACATGTTTTTGAAAATATTTATTACTCCATTATGTTACTCTGTTACATATCGTTTATTTCAGGATTCGGGGGGGGGGGTGGTCAAACAAATTTTTCGCACAAAAGAATCAGGATAGTCACACGTACCTAAAAGACTCTTGACCTGTGATCCTAAACACTTGACCCCGCCCACATTGGCGTATCCTTCAGCGTAGTGGTCGCTAGGCAACCAGGGAGGGCGTACCTCCAGGGGAATCCCCTGATCCGTTCTGTCGATCGGATAAAATAGCCTCAGGAGTATACTGCAAAGGAAGAAATTTATGATTATTTGCCATAATTTGGTTTAAAAGCAGTTCAATAATATCTGTTTCTCCATCTAATGCTCTTGGTAAGGAAATACCAATTTGCTGTCATTTGTTTTAGTTCAGTTTGTTCTCTTTGTCATTTTTTTAGGGATTTATAATATAGGTATCACCACCATCGTCATCATCATTCTCATTACCATCATAATCTTCATTTTCATCATTATCATCAACATCATCCCCCTCCTCCTTCCTCCTTCACTACCATCATATACCACCACCACCAAATTATAATCATCATCATCACCATCACCATTATTATCGTTATCACCACCAATCACCACCATCATCATCATAACATCAGTAATAAGCATCATCAACATCATCATTACCAATCACGACCATCATCATCACCATGCATCATCACCATCACTATCATCATCACCATCACTATCATCATCATCATCATCATCATCACCATCATCATCATCACCATTACCATCGTGCACCATCACCGCCACCATGCATCATTACTATCATTACCAGCATTAATCATCGTCATCATCATCATCACCATCATCATTTACCATCACTATCATCACCAACATCATCATCATCACCATCATCAGTATCATCACCATCATCACAGCATCAGTAAATATCATCATCAACACCATCATCATAACCATCATCACCACCATTATCATCATCATTGACCGCGTAATCATCCTCACCCCGGTTCGACGATGTCTGTCATGACGTCTCCACACCCGACATCATACGGGCCACGGCCCGGTGGTACACCTCGACCGGTACATCTGGCTTCATCACGGGAAGATGTCATAATATAGTCTTCTTCTTCTTCTTCTTCTTCTTCAAGATAATCTGCCTCCTTCAATACTGAAGATTCTTGCAGATGCCGTATACTCGGCCTGATTGGGGTGTGATCTCGATCATGAAAACATATGAAATCTGGCTTTCTACGCTCATGGGAAGTTTGATTATAAATGAGAAGAAAACAAGACAAAGTAGACATAAATTTTGCTATTAGATATAGAAAGTTACTTTATACAACATGTTATAAAACGAATGGAGCAAATAATGAAAATGAACCCTTGCGACCTCGATAAGGTTAGGTTTTTTAAATTAGTGCAAAGCACTACTTTAAACAAACAGAACTTTGTTATTCCTAGCTCATTTTTCCTGACTGAGGTGTTATATGAAAGGACAGAAACTCAACTTTCTAGAAATGTGATTTTCTCTTTGAAATTCAGATACCGTCCGCCAAATTTTTAGTTTCCTCTCTTCAAATTCATTTTATCACTTATGCGTGAAATATGCATTACATGAGTTACATCAAATGAAAGAGAACGGATCTAAGCTTTCCAAATATGTGTCATTTATCAATTATAATTGTGATTAGATTATGATAAAACCTCGTTAATTCTCGGTTTCGTTTTTTTATGGGACGCACTGTATATATTATATATATATATATATATGTATATATATATATATATATATATGGATTTACTTACCTGGTTAATATCACGAGTGATGTGTTCCTTGATCTGTAGTGCCGTATTTCAGTTCAGAAAAAGAAAAATGTAGAGATAATGTCCTGTAGTAGATCCATGATGTAATGATAATATTCAATCGAATTGAATCCCTGCACCGAGTTAATCACTCAGCGGACATGGTACGTGATGAATGGCGGAAAGCCCAATGATTAATGACTTTTGTTATCTAGATGACAACGCTTCCGAAATATCTGCCGAGTCACCGCAACCGAGTCATGCAACCATATCAACCATATCAACCATATCAAGTGATTGTTTATTTGTTAATTTTTTTTTAGTTTAAAAAACTGATTCAGATATGCTCTCTGCATCTGTTCAAACTGATCCTTAAAACGAAATAAATAAAACTCACCCAAAAAGAGAAAATGAATCCTGATGAGGCTGTGTCAACGATCCTCGATGAATAACGTAAACAATTTCGGCACGTGATAAAACATCCGCAATATACTGGCTGTTTCCGATCCTAATTAATCATCATTTTCCCTTGGTAGAACTAGAAGCACGTCAAACCCGTACCGAGTTATAGGACCCAGACAATCAGGAAGTAGTTGTTTCTCTATCTTTATTTGAAATTATCAAGCATATTTTTCCGTGGCAAAACGGTGCGAAAAACAACAGAAAGTATCAACATAATCAATTTCGTGTGTGATCTCGATCGACGGGTACTGTCTCGAAGCACTGAGATTCATGATATAGTTGTTTAACTCCCATTCAATAAGCAACCTGGTGAGAAGAAAGTAGAAAGTATTTAATGACGTCACCCGATCAGCTTTTGTGTTGTGTCGTATAGTAATCTCCGAAAATCAAAATCCTTCACGTTAGTCGTTAATTCCTGTAAGCAGGGGCGTAGACAACGGGGGGGGGGATGAGGGGGATGCATCCCCCCCACCTCACAAGGTGGGGGGGATGGCATGTACAATCATCCCCCCCAGGTTTTGGGGAATGATATTTGCTTACTTAATAAGTCATAATGATGATAATAATAGTAATAATAATAATGATAACAATTATAATATTAATAATAATAATAATTATGATGATGATAATAATAATCCTCATCATTATTGTAATTGTGTTTATTGTTATTAGCCGCATTCACACGGTGAAAGACAATTCAGACGGTAAAAAAAAGAAAAGTATTTGGTGGTTATCTTGTGGTTTGGAAACCACAAGATAACCACAAGATTAAACAGGCGCGGATCTACGGGGGGGGGTTTAGGGGGTTTAAACCCCCCCCCCCCCCCGCCTCTTGAGCGGCCCAACAAAAAAACACAACAAAAAAAGGGGGAAAAAAAAAAAAAAAAAAAAAAAAAAAGGAAAAAAGAACGCACGCTGGAGAGAAACCCTTTCAAGTGCAAATATTGTGAGAAGATATTCAACTCATCTGGTAACTTAAGCAAACACATGATAACTCTGGATATAACTGTGTATTTAACTGTTACTTGATTTAAAAAGACGTTATCATGCACTGCTTTTTATGGTCTCCATTGTGTTAATAGATGCCAGGAAAACATCACTTACGGGTTCAAATAAACACCCAAAAAAAAATCGGCTCGCCGCTTCGCGGCTCGTGGACGATGCTCCGCATCGTCATTATTTTGGTCAACCCCCCCTTAGCAAAAAGCTAGATCCGCCCCTGAGTCATCCCCCCCAGGTGTACGAACCTGTCTACGCCACTGCCTGTAAGTAAAACTTTAGAACAAGACAACAAGCGATTGGCTCTACAAGAGTAACCCTGAAATCATTGTTATGTTCTTTCTTTCTCTTATTCCTGTTTTTTGTGAACAAAACTAATCTCCCGACTTTTTAAAAACATGTGCGACGAAGCGAATATAAACTACAGTAAAGCGCTTGAATCGATTTCGCAGCGATTCGATTCGCCTCGTTGCACACTTCAAACAGCTACACTAAGCATTGCACATTAAGCCCATCCTGGCCAACCCCGTTTCATGAAACTTGTGATTAAGAACAAGTTACCATACTGTTAAAAGCTACAATAATCGTTGCAACATTGATTGGCCATGTCATGGTCAAATTAAATGTTTATTTGAAGAAATAGGCTAGTAAACTTGCTATTGATAAATTTTTTAATAAATCTGGGCCCAGACATAAAAATGTCATTTTCGTAATGTAATAACATTTGGCGCACAAATCTTTCTTAAGTGCCTTTATAAAAAATATTTCAATCACCTGTTATTACGAATATTTGTATTTCAAGAGCAAAAATGCGACTTTCAAACATTACGTGTTGTTGGGTAGGACAAGCGATGTTTTTCCTACCTTGCAAAAATTAATGTTGCAAATATGTATAAGGGTTTGGTCTTGTTCTCTCTCTCTCTCTCCTCATAATTATGAATATCAATGGTGTGATGGGGGTTCAGCCAATAAGGGGGCACCCGCGTCTGGAGGGGTGGGGGCGGCGGGCACTGAATTAGGGGGCATACGATCGCAAAAAGCAGCCTTAAGCATATTTTTTTTTTTAAACACTGTGAATCACTTACTGAAATGAACAAACGTTTCAATGACACAATACGTAATCCGTGCATAATGATTTTTATTGGATATAGACTTACAAAAAGGAATTGAAATTGCCCATGAGTTGAATTTTCCAAAGTCTTCATGATCGTGAAGTGGATGAAACGCGAAAGAAAATGGGCATGTAGTAAGAAGTGGATGTACGTGGAGGGGTCTCATTTTCTTACAAGTTATTGTAAACCGTCCTTTCCCCCGTCTCGTTTGTTCATGCGAGGGGGCGGCATGTGCCCCCCCCCCCATCCTCACCACCACCCTACCACGCCACTGCCCACCATAGGCTCATCACGCTTCCCCTTCTTGTCTCCTCTCTCCTCTTAGTCTTCCCATTCTCTGTTTCCATTCATTTTCTCATTCTATCTCTCTCTCTCTCTCTCCTCTTCATGTTCCCCCTCGTCCTCGCTTTCTCTCTTTAACGTTCTCTCCCTTCCCCCTTCTCTCTCTCTTTCACTCTCTCTCTATCTATTTCATGTCTCTTCCTTTTTACCACTTTATTACCCATCTATCTATCTACTTCATTCTCTCTCTCCCTCTCCTCGTCATGTTCACCCTCGTCATCGCTTTCTCTCGTTAACGCTCTCTCTTTCTCCCCTTCACCTTTCCCATCTTTATCTCTCTCTCCCTTTCTCTCTCTCTCTCTTTCTCTCCCATTCTCTCTCTCTCTCTCTCTCTCTCTCTCTCTCCCAGGGTATTATCTAGTACATACACAAACACAAATCAGAATTGACTAAAGAATTCTGTAATAAATACTCAAACTCCTCTTTGAGTTTATTGAATAAAATTCACATTTTCATGATATCAAAACAACGAACATAACAAAAAAATTAAACTTTACATATTTACACCATAGACATCTGTACAGTTTACACAAGATCTTCAAAATGGATAACAACAAAAAACAAACACATGTGGACATCCATTTTCTTACCTTTTCATACACATTATTAAAACAATATGGCCGTACGTAACAGAAATATTTTATGTACAAAAACACATTCCTGTACACGTTCAAAGTAAAATAAAATTCATAATATTTTGTTGCATATACTTTCTTATATTTACACTAGTCAATGTATATAAATGCACAGAGCTCTATGTCGTATTCAAGAGTATGTGCAAGATAGTATCAATTGTTATTTTTTTCTGAATAATCATGATAAATCTATGTGCATACATCTCCCGCACATATGATAAATAATCATTTTAAATACTTATTCATCAAAAATTGTTGCATTTGTCCATTCTTAAGCAATTTCCAATGTTCTTGTTGCTTGTGTTTCAAGCGCATGTATACACACAGAGTAGAATCCAAGGGCACTTTACCTGTCTACACACAAAAACCAGGGGGGCGTTTCACAAAGCCTTTTTTCAATGACAAATAACAAAAATCAGTGACAAATCTGCTGATAACCAATCAGGAACATGGATTTCAGTAGCTTATAACACAAATTGTCATTTGTCACTGATGACAAGTTTTGTGAAACGCCCCCAAGAACCTATTACATGTACTATGAAGGCGTTGGGTAGTCAGCAGTTACAGGCTCTGGGGGTTGTTTCACAAAGATTTTAAGTCGAACTTAACTCTGAGTTGGACTTCAACATTATGGAGAGCTATTTGCAGCCTTAAATTAAAAGATATTCAAAAGCAAAAATTGAAGTATTTTAGACTTTTCATAAATTCCACATCAAGAACACGAAATCTCCTTGATATTAAATAGAAAATATGAATGATTTGATTCAACATTTTATGGTTTTCAAAATAACTTTTACAAAATATTTTCAAAGATGCTAATGTCCTTCGATAACGGTGATCTTTGTGAAATACCCCCTGGTTTCATAAAACTTGTTATCAATCACAAGTTACATAACTGTTATAAGCTAATGAAATCATGGCATTTGATAGGCTGAGAGCACATTTGTTATAGTTATTTAGCATTTGTTATTGATAACGAGTTTTATGAAACAGGGACCTGACACTTTGACACTTAACCACAATTCTGAAAACCTTGAGGAGAGCCTAACTCAGTCAGTTTCTGCCCTACTCAGGAGTAGCTTCAGTACAGCGCCTATGCATAATTAGTCTCACATTGCAGACACTGTTATGCACAACAGCCAAATGTTTGTGCCTGAAAACTTGTAGTTAGGCAGGGTCATACTAAAAAGACATTTCATAATAATTTATTAAATAAAAACAAATAAATAATTGAGAAAAGTTAATCACAGAGTTGCCCTGCCGACATTTACTGCAAAGTTTCCAAACTTATAATGTATCGCTATAGCACTTCTACTCTAGAGAAATTGCGGATGTATAGAATTACAATACAAACCCAGAATAAATAATACTATATTACTTAATATCATCACAGATTTCAGTTACTGTTGTGATTAAGTTTAAAGCCTGTCTGCACTAGTTTGGCCAGGAGGGATAAGACCTCCCTGCGTGGTCACTGACAGGTGGTTATCTCATCAAATCAGCTCTCAATTAACATAAGAAAAAGGGGACCATGGGGAACCAACAGGTACCGCTTAGGCATTGTTTGCTATATAGAGGGCAAAAGTAGCTGCAAGTAGTGCATTCCCACTTTAAGATTACAGTTAAGATTACAGTCCCTCTTTAAGATACAGTTACGAATACTGATGGGTGAAGGTTCGGGATGTGATTGGGTTTTAGGAAAGTTTGGGTTAGG